TAGAAGAAAGTGAGAGTTCATGTCACTTGCTCCTGGGTGGGGGTAGCAGGGTTAGAACCCCTGCCCCCCCCCCAAAACCAACACAACCCGGTCGTTGTCTCACCCTAACCGAGCAGTTGCTGGTCTCTGACGTCTGCAGCAGAAATATGTTTGAGATTTGGGGGGGAGGGGGCAGTCTGGTGTTTGCCCCACCCCGCTCCTCCTGCACAGTCCCATGCCGCCAGCTCACCAGCACATGCTAATGACTGTACGTTTTATTTAGCGACACGAGCACTTGTCACCCCTCCCCAGCCCTCTGTGGGGTGGGGGGAGGGGGGGCTGGTTCCCCCCCTCGAAAACATTCCAAGTGTCGTGCCGCAGTATTCCGGTGACTGCCACTTGTGAGCCGGCTCGCTCCGACACGGAACGCTGTAGGTACTTCATTTAGGCTCGCAGAAAGCACGCCGGTCCGAATCCATGGTTCTGGACTTCGGGAGGGACGAAATGGCAGGTCACCTCGACGAGGACGAGGATCTTCCGGAGTGTGACTGCGATATCACCAGGCAGGCTGACTGAACCCCCCCCTCCCCCCCCATGTGACTCCTATTCTAACTCCCTGTCCACTGTTTACCTGAGCAGATTTCTGTGTCTCCATATTTTTGGGACTCACTGCTTTTGCTGTGCATGTATCTGTTTGTTGGTAGAGGTGGGAAGAGTTGTGATTTTTCAGGTCCTCCCCTTCCCACCCCCCCAGGTTACTGAGTGGTCTGGTCCGACCCTGGGGAGATGGTTTGTTTTTGTTCGCAGTGTTGATGACTTTGACACGTGTGTCGCAGTTATCAGTGACACGCTGTACACGTGAGGCTGTCCTGATTGCAGTTCGTTTCAAAGCCACGCTGTGCTCTCTGATGGCGTTGAGGCCGGTGCTGCTTTTATGTGGAGAATTCTGCCCAACTGCTGACAGTTTGAGACAGTTACATGACCACAGAGTGTCATACTCAGTCACGCTCTTCGAATTTAGTGAGAGATTCCAGACGGGGCAGGGAGCAGAGCCTGCTGGCTGATTCCCAGCGTTCGGGTGGAAAGTGCACATCGGGTAGGGGCACTGGGGCCAGGCTGCAGTTTTTGGCTGTGAAAGTGACAAAATGAAAAAGATCAGTCAGTCTGTGAAATGCAGCTCGGGCTGCATTAACTCCTGTGAGCCCCGAGTGATGAAAATAGAGCGAGTTTTGGTTTGGGAAATTTCCCTTCTTGCTATATTTTGCTAGATAAACAATGATAATCAGAAACTTTTCAAAAAATAAACATGCTACAGTTGCCTGACCTTCCTGTGCTATAACCTTCCTGTGCTATAACCTTCCTGTGCTATAACCTTCCTGTGCTATAATCTTCCTGTGCTATAATCTTCCTGTGCTATAACCTTCCTGTGCTATAACCTTCCTGTGCTATAACCTTCCTGTGCTATAACCTTCCTGTGCTATAACCTTATGCACAATGATATGACCTAAACCAACTATATGCATATTAGAAGATATATTAGAAATGGAAGAGTGGAAGTTCCCTGGAAATGGGGTTTAGTAGCTGTCACGGTGGGTGGGGATTACTTACTGTACCAGTGCTTAGCCTGCCAGTGAACTTTGCTGTCATTAACACTGCACACTGGCTTCACTGCACAAGGTAATGCTTGAGATTGTTTACATCAAAGTTTGTCTAGTGAAAGTGAGTCTGATTGGGTTAGAAACATCAGAAATGGGAAAATGATACACTTCAGTGTTAATGGTTTGAGTGTGTGTGTGTGTGTGTGTGTGTGTGTGTGTGTGTGATTGTGAATGTTAACACTGGGTATACTTCTGTGCATTGTGTGTGTTGGGAAACACTGTTTGAAACTGAGCTGCAGCTGAGATATATTATGTTTGTGTGTCTCAGAGAAAGTCTGATTCTGCTTTCTGGAAACCTGTTTGAGAGAGAGTGTGAATGATCTGCATTCTCGTCATGTTACTGTGTGTGTGTGTGTGTGTGCGTGTGTGTGTGCAGGGCAGTAGCATTGCTGACGTGGCCATGATGAGATAGGGACTGTGCAGGAGTAGTGTGACTAGGTGGGGGGTCAGGGGTTGAAGCTGAGGGCCTGGGGGGGGCGTTATGCATCCCGCCTCACCGGCGCCTCCACGCAGGGTGAGGAAGCTCCGTGAGACGCTGGTGGCCATGCAGCAGCTGGACAAGAATATGAGCAGCCTGAAGTCCTGGCTGGCCCACATGGAGACACAGCTGGCCCGGCCCATCATCTACGACACCTGCGACGCTCAGGAGATCGAGAAGAAGCTGGGTCAGCAGCAGGTGAGGAGGCAGGCCGAGGGGCCGGGGGTGGGCTGAGGGGCAGGGAGCAGGCAAGGCCAAGGAGGTGATCCGAGGGGGGCGGGGCTGGCCGAGGAGGTGGGGTGAGAGGGAGGGCTGGGATGGGTCAGCTGCAGTTTGGCTGAAGTGTGAACACAGCGGCAAAATGAAAGGACAAACTAACACGAGAAACTAGCCCAAGCAAAGCAGCGTCAAGGTCATGGCCCTGAATGAGCAGGAGGTCTCTCTCTTGCTTCCTCTCCAATCTTCTCCTTTTTCAGACCGGTTGTCTTTTAGCAAAGTCCACTCAGTTCAGTTACAGCCAGCTGGGCTTCTACAAAAGAGCAGCTTTGCAAGAGGATGAAAGTTAAAAAATTAGGTGCCGTCATCTGTCACTCAAACTGCTCTGAGCAGCCAGACATGAGTATAAAGGGTGGCAGACACGAGTAATGACATATACAGGGTCATCGCCTGGTGGGGGAGGGGGGGGGGCTAGTGTTTTACGGGGCTCCAGACGGGGGGGGACCCCCTTTCCATTTGGCAGAATGTACAGAGAGGAACTAAGGTGACATTTTGTCAGGAGACCCAGAATTCCATGCTACATCTCTGCACACACTGACAGGCATAGATGAACGACCACACCTGGGCCGTCATGCATGGTCAGTGTCACTAGGCAGTGTCCTCCTGCTGTTTCAGCTTATGATGTATCACACTTGCATTTGGAGATGTTGAAGCTGACACTCAAGACTCGGAAAGCAGGAGACCCTTAGACCGCAAACACACGTCACTTTGTCAGTGTCCCACAGTCAGTCACCATCCCCTGATCTGCATTTCCCTGCAGTCTAGTCGGCGTCACCATGCCAAGCTCGCATTTGAACAAAATGACTCTGTTTAATAGGAGAGAGTTAGGTAAATTTAATTCACTGATTTTTCTCGGAAGGTCCTGAGACCAGCTGATCTGACAGAGTAGGAAAGAGAATGTATATAATACTGGCAGACTAGATTTGCTCCTTTTCAGGCATTTCCCAAATCTTCCGTGTAATCTGAACCATCCACTCCGCGATCCTTCGGAAAATTCAAATCCAAATCCGTCCTGTAAAAATCTTTTCTGACTCCTGCTGTTTTGTTTATCCAAAGACAACAGATATGTGCTAATTAGCAGTCAGATTAATCATTTTAGTTTCAGATAAACACGCTAAGAAAAACAGCCGTGAAAGACCTCAGTGTTGACACTGGCAAGGAGTCAGTTCAGAACCGCCAGTTGAGGGGATTTTCCATTGGGGATGTGGGAGAGGGACTGACCGCTGACAGGTGCCCCCCCTCCGGTTCCCCAGGAGCTCCAGCGGGACATCGAGAAGCACAGCACAGGCGTGGCATCAGTGCTGAACCTGTGCGAGGTGCTGCTGCATGACAGTGATGCTTACTCCACTGAGGCAGACTGCGAGTCCATCCAGCAGGCCACACGCAGCCTGGACCGCCGCTGGAGGAGCATCTGTGCCATGTCCATGGAGAGAAGGCTCAAGTGAGTGTGACACCGCAGGGTTGCTGGTTTGAATCCCCAATACTCTTAATAAGGGCAGTTGAAGTTACTGAAATAAGGAAACGTATATACCTTGTATTTATAGGTTTGTTGCTTTAGGAATGGAGTCATCCCGAAACACGACTAATAATTAGAAGAAAATTATAAAAAGTAAAGAAATTAGAATGTGGGGTTGTGGAAATATTCAAATGTTTGCTTGCGCTGGAATATAGAAAGAGTTTGCCAGCGCCAATTTGATAAATACAGCTGTCTGATGGATTGTGTGTGCGTGTGTGTGTGTGTGTGTGATATTTTGGCTTCTGCGCCAGCCTGTCTCCACAATAACAGGAGGATAGCAGCTGTCCCCTCATATCAGACAGCGGGGGCAGGCAGGGGGGTCAGTGTAGGGAGGGTAGTGGCTGCTGATATTCCCGTGTCACACGTGTCTGTCCACTGGCGCCTTCCCGCAGGATCGAGGAGACAGGGAGGCTGTGGCAGAAGTTCCTGGACGACTTCCTGCGCTTCGAAAGCTGGCTGAGCGAGTCGGAGAGGACGGCCGCCCTGCCCAACTCCTCGGGCGTGCTCTACACCGTGGCCAAGGAAGAACTCAAGAAGTTTGAGGTGCAGAAGCCATGGCCCAACTTGAGGGAGGGGGGAGGGGATCGGTGGAATCCAGAAAGAGTTAAGCAGCCTTCCACAGAGACGGGGGAGGGAAAGCCCCCACGGTGGTTATCTTTAATTAGCATGAAGGTTATACTAGCACATGGATAAATGGACCGTGAACATCTTTGGCATCACGGTTTTGGGGTGAAATAAGGCTTTTTCCCAGCTGTGCCCGAGGGATAGTATGTCCCATAATCAAGGATGGCAAGAACAAGCCCCCAACACCAGATAATAAATGAAAAGCCACACTAAACCCATGTTGTAAGGCACAGTTCTAGTCATTACAATGATACTTCAAGGTCATTGTGACCTTCAGCACTGCACTGATTTCTGCTGTCGTCCTGTAGCTGAGAGTGTTACGGATGGTCAGCTTCGCTTTGCGTGTGTGTGTTTGGGACAGGCCTTCCAGCGGCAGGTCCAAGAGAGCTTGACCCAACTAGAGCTCATCAACAAGCAGTACCGGCGCCTGGCCCGGGAGAACCGCACCGACTCCTCTTCCCGTCTGCGCCAGATGGTGCATGATGGGAACCAGCGGTGGGATAACCTGCAGAAGAGGGCGGCCTCTATTCTTCGTCGCCTCAAGGTACCTCACACCTGTACCTGCACCTATGTCAACCTGCATTAGCACATCTGTACCTGCACCCATGTAGACCTGCATTAGCACATCTGTATCTGCACCTATGTCAACCTGCATTAGCACATCTGTACCTGCACCCATGTAGACCTGCATTAGCATATCTGTACCTGCACCCATGTAGACCTGCATTAGCATATCTGTACCTGCACTCACATAGACCTGCATTAGCACATCTGTACCTGCACCCATGTAGACCTGCATTAGCATATCTGTACCTGCACTCACGTAGACCTGCATTAGCATATCTGTACCTGCACTCACATAGACCTGCATTGGCATATCTGTACCTGCACCCATGTAGACCTGCATTAGCATATCTGTACCTGCACTCACATAGACCAGCATTAGAATATCTGTACCTGCACCCATGGCCAACATGTTTGTACTTAAAACCACAACACACAATCCTGTATGCATGTAATCACACACCTCACACATTCAGGCATCATACTGCTTGTACCTTCTATATAACTATCACTGCTGGTCTGTTAAATGTTTTTGATTGGAATTCATAATCGCATTGGTCACCTGAGTATCTCCTGCATCTTGCAGCACTTTATCAGCCAAAGGGAAGAATTTGAGGCAGCTAGAGACAGTATCCTGGTGTGGCTGACCGAGATGGACCTTCAACTGACCAACATTGAGCACTTCTCAGAGTGTGACGTTCAAGCCAAGATTCGGCAGCTCAAGGTGAGGCTCGTCATCTTGGGGACATACGTGAAGATCCTCACCTTGCATCCTGAGGAGCCAAAACCTCACCAGAAGAACCCCGAATGATGTCCACTCCTTATCTTCCCCAGGCATTCCAGCAGGAGATCTCCCTGAATACCAGCAAGATGGAGCACGTCTTCCACCAGGGGGAGGTGCTCATAGAGAAGAGCGAGCCCCTGGACGCCACCGTCATCGAGGAGGAGTTGGAGGAGCTGCAGAGGTACTACCAGGAGGTGTTTGGCCGCGTCGAGCGCTACTACAAGAGGCTGACCCGCCTCCCGGTAAGAAACCTGCTTATGAGTCCTTCACATGTGGAACATCTGAGGTGTCATTGTAGCTCGGCATTGGGGCTGCTATCCCATAGTGTGCAGCTAGCATTGTTTAGTTGCATTAATGTGGAGTATGTGGGCATTATTAGTGTGTCTTACATGTGTCACCTGACCCTCAGTTTACGGACGACGAGCACACTGGTTCCGACCACGAGCTGGATCTGGACGATGTCACTCTGCGCTGGAACGACAACTTTAGGAAAAGCCCGTTGGCCACTTCCGGCTGCTCCCCTACGGTAGTGATGGCATCCCATGCGGAGCCCTCGGGGAGAGACACCCCAGCAAGCGTGGACTCTATCCCGCTGGAGTGGGACCACGATTATGACCTGGAGACCGAGCGGGAGGGCGGTTCCCAGGACAGGGATCTGGAGTTCCTCCACGGGGCAGCTGCAATCTCAGGTCAGCCCCAGGGAATGCTGGGAAATAAAAAAAAACACCCACACACAGTAGCTTGAATCTCCACACCCGATAAGGGCTGTGTCTAGTGTTCAAACTACAGCAGACCACATGCAAGTGTTAAGAAGGGTTAGCCAAAACACCCACTGATCCCACCCACTAAAAAAGGACTTATACTGTAGCACAGGCAGACCCATCCAGGACTTTTTTTCACATAAACAGCCGCTAGTGTTCATAAGGCAGCGCTGTTCATGTTATGCTGGTGTTACAGACCGAAGGTTTGACATGTCATCGTGCTTTTCTCAGCCATGGGTTCTCCAGACCTTCAGATGTTCCTTCAGATCCCATCTGTATTTCCTTCTTTCCAGATGTAGTGATTCCCGAGAGCCCAGAGGCTTATGTCAAACTGACAGAAAGGACTCTGATGTCCTCCACTGGTAGGCAATTAGGGACGGCATGCCCTGGTATAGCGAAGGATAACCGTTTGTGTGAATGACCTGCATTTGCATGCTAATCCCTGCAATGTAAATCCACTAATCAGCAGGGTTTCTAACCAGCCCACTTGACTACATATTAAAGCAAATGATCACTTGCAGCATGCCAGTAAACAGCACTCCCTGCTGGTTGGTATGTAGGCGAGCAAGAGGCAGCCATTACTGTCCCGCCATATCATCTGCATGCCCACTTGTCACCTGTCTCCCTGCCATCCTTCCCCGCCCTAACACCTGCATGTCCATCATCTCCTTGACGTGGAGGCCACCACAGCTTTGCCGTTGAGTTAACCTCTTGCTGTCTATGCCTTAAGGTCCCATCCTGTTGAGGTGAGGGACAAAATTGGAGGATTCCTTAAAAAAAACAGATCAAACACATCATGTGAATCGTACTTGGTCATGACCCATGTTGATTACTGGGTCCTTGGTCATATTTTCCTGCAAATGGAGGGTGGGATTTCTGAAGGTCCTCACCTCGATTCAGTGACATGAAATGAGTCTTTTTGGTGGCAGCATCGGTAGTCAGTGGCTGCATCAACGCAAATGAGCTTATGTGATGATGCTGCTGTACCTCCACAGGAGATCCAGATGCCTTGGGAACACGTGGTCAGTATCACCTGCAGGAGGCCGACGAAATCCTCCGCAGCCGCACCCCGACCAGCCCAGACCTCAGCGGCTCCTACACGGGCTACGTAAGTTTCCCTCCCCACCCACTACGCTGATCTCAGGACCTCATTACAGTTTAGGCTGATCCATCGGCTTGACTCTGCCTTGGCCATCGGCGTGTAGTTAAAATCAACAACACTGAGATTTTCGCTCAACACATTGCTTGTCGGCTCAAGAGACACTAAACACATCAGGTGTCGAGCGACCAGTCAGTCCGGAGTTTGGTGACTTAGAGGCTTTGCCGTGTGCAGATGAGGCTGATGGGAGAGTGCCGGAGCAACATCGACGCCATGAAGAGGATGGGCGGTGAGCTTAGTGATGGCCAGGACGAGCTGCTGGGCCTGGTCAACCTGAACACCACTGAGTCCCAGATGCCAGGTAAGCCTGGGTTTGGTGCCTGTTCCTGCTAACCTGCTTTACTGTAAGCCTCAACCTCAACCTTTTCGACCATTTCTGGCCAAACCTCACTGGTTGCGTGGTTGAGGACCAACATCATAATCCTTGATGAGGTCATCCACTTGCATGTACCCATGTGCCCCCTACCGGGTACTCCCCAACAGGTGTGATCGAGCGCTGGGAGCTGGCTCAAGCTCAGGCCCAGGCCCAGAGCCCGGAGCAGAACCTGCAACGGTGGCAGCAGCTGCACGCAGACCTCGACAGCATGCTGTCGTGGCTGCATCAAGCGGAGGAGGAACTTCTGCAACTGCGCAGGCTGGACCGCAGCTTGGACATCCACGACATCGAGCTGCGCATTCGGAAACTCAAGGTGGGCTTTGAGTTTGAGTTTGAGTTTGTTTTTAATATTTAAACTGGTACAACTTTACAATAAGACTACCCTTATAAAGAGTTTAAGAATGGTTTATAATTAGGTTATAACAGTTTTTTTGTATTATTAATGAGCTACCACCATTTATAAATGGCAAAATGGACTCTTATTGTGGTACCTATAAACCTTTTCAGCTTTATAATTGTAGTCTCACTATGTGGTGCTTTAATCTATAACTCCCCAAACACACAACTTTGAGATCCAACATTATTATTGTCACACAATACGATTAAATTCGACATACTTTGTAAACCATAATGCCAAATACGATAAAAACATGGTGAGAACTAGCAGCAGCGGCTTGTGATAAATGACACAGAAAGTGTAGAAGCGCAATTAGCTTTTCTTGAACCAGTTAATGGCGAGGGGGTAGAAGTTACCCCTGAATATTGTGGTCTGTGTTAAAGCCCTATAAGCTTCAGGGGTGGTGTTTATTGTTTTATACAGACCTGCATTAAACGTCAGCCTTAGATCTTCGCCACGTTAGATCTTTGCCATGGCAACTTCTGACAGACATTTTCAATCAAAATGCTTCTTTTTTTTACCACAGACATGAAGTTTAAAGACGTAGCTTTAAACACTACATAGTGTTTTTTTCCATGAACACAGATGAGTCTAGTCACAGTCACTTTTGTCCATCTACAGAGAGGTCGAGACTCCCTGCATTAGCCTGTTTTTTTTATGTCTGCACAATGAATGGAATAAAGCGACGTGTTGACTTGACGCGGACTGAGATGTTTATTTGGGGAAGCTCTCCCCAGAGATAGACGGGGGGCCCAAGAAGGAACGACTCTAATGTACAGCTAAAAATAAGAACTCCAGTTTGGCATTGGGGTGGGTGCATGTATCAAATTTGGGTCCTCGGGGGCAACAGGAAAATAAAACGGGGAGGTTGTGGATTTGTGGACTGGCAATGATTTAGTGAAAGAGAGCTGAGCAGAATGCATGAATCACAGACGAGGAGGCGTGGGTGAAACAATTCGATACAAATATCCCTGGTCACCTGACTGCCCCTCCCAGACGTGCTGGGCCTCCATGTTACAAGCAAGTAGCTAAAGAGCTGCTCACAGGAATAATACTGTAACTGTAACTGTAACATTACACCAATAATCTTCCAGTTGCTGTTAATTTATAGACATTATAGACCAAAGCCCGTCTAAGTTACTCAGTATAAGGACTTTGGCTAAGGAAGGTGTATTGGATTATTAGTGAATGATGTGAACTGGCCTTTTGTATGTTTAAAGCTGACTTTGAATAAAAATATGAGATTCCATAGGGTGCAGTTTTGAGGTCATGTGCAAAGACGCCTCGGATCAGTTCCGTTCCGACCTTAACTGGACCGAAAACTTCTAAAACGTGCGCGATCATGGACGGAAGCGGAGCGATGGTGTTTCTGAGCGCTGAGCTGAATTAGTCTGAGACGACTTTATCTAATTAATATACGGTTCAAAGTTTGGAGTAGCTCTGCCGCCGTCCCAGGTGAGAACGGAGCTGTTCCACTCACTCGGTTTGAGCTGCTGGCCATCTGGGATCTGCAGGCTTTTGCTTTCCTGCCGGATGAGGAGCCATGGAGAGGCAGGGAGCGCAGGCATGTGGGTCAGCCGGCCAGTGGGACGTGCATGTCGTGCCAACTATAAATAGCTCCACCTTGGAGCTAGAGCCAGTTCAAGGACCTACATCTGCATGCTGAACTCCCTGCCCCCCCTTTTCCTGTCCTGCTCCATTGTCCCTCGCAGCTATTGGCTCTGCTGACAGCCAGATGCCCAATCTAGCCTTCTGTCTGACTGTAGCCCCGCCTCCCTCCCTCCCGCCCACAGGGACTGCAGAAGGCAGTCGACAGCCGCAAGCCCATCCTGCTGTCCATCAACTTGAGTGCCACAGAGCTCTTCAAATCAGAACCCAGCGATTCCCAGGAGGTCGGAGAGGCCCAGCTGCGGCTGACGGAGATGAACGGGCTCTGGGAGCGGCTGGGCACTTCCCTGGAGGACTGGCGCCAGTCCCTGCAGGACGCCCTCATGCACTGTCATGTGAGTGACCCCCCCCCCCCAGGAGCCCCAACAAACACCACCGATTTTGTGTACAATAAATCCAAATTTCAGTTAGTGTGTACATCACTTTATTTAAAATCAAACGTGGATGATTTATTAAAAATTCTAAAAAAAAATCTCTGAAAATAGTATTCTCTAATTCGACTAATTAATTAGACTGATTAGTTAATTAGTCTAGTTGGATGTTAGTAGCTTGGTTTGATTTAAAATACATGGCATACCTGGGTTAGATTTTGATTTGATTTTAAAATATGCAACATACCAAAGGCAGAGTGCAGATAGGCCTTATGGGTACACCTCATTGGCTGTGAGCTGTAACATGTGACCCACTGTGGCTGACCGCTGTGCTGCTCCTGCAGGATTTCCATGAGATGAGCCACGGCCTGCTCCTGTGGCTGGAGAACATCGATCGCCGGAGGAGCGAGGTCACTCCCATCGATGCCAGCCTGGACCGGGTCACCCTCCTGGAGCATCACGGCGTGCTCAGGGTACGTCCTGCTCAGGATGGTCGCGTTGCAGTCAAAGCCCCTTGGTCACATTATGGTCAGCGTTCCTGCAAAACTTACAATCTACTTTGGCCTGGAAAAAAAATAAATGGTCCTTGCCGGTCTCATTTGATAAATGATGGGTCCGCCCCCTGCGGTTCTGTGTGGAGTTCTCTCCATGTTCACATGGGCTTTCTGCCTGCAGTCCAAAGTGAACTGGTCTGTCTACATTGCCTTCACTATTTGATTGTTTGTGTGAACCCTGTAATGACCTGGCATCCCCTCCAGAGGGCGCCCTACCTCATGCCCAGTGTCTCCTGAGACAGGCTCCAAACTCCCCCAACCCAGTACTGGATAAACTACAGAAATAAATAATATGAAAGCTACATCATTCAGCGCAGTTAAGCACTCGCAGAGCACATTATTAAACACTAGTGCTTCCTGACCTGCACACTCTTCCCACACTCTGACCCTCATTTCATTGGGTTTTAATCTCCGTTAAGAGCTGTGAAATGCGTGACGTTCGAATCCGAAAGAAGTGGAGCCATTAGCGTGACGCTCTTACAAGCTGAACGACTGGCAAGATTCTGTGTCCCCACTCTAATAAATGAATCGTAATTATGTTTTAATTCAATTGGCGGACGATTATGTCGGTGATGTTTTGAGCGAACTAGAGATCAGATGTCAACAAGCAGTGATTAGCGGCAATCGGCGATCTTTCCGTGTGGTGAAGGGTCCGCTGCTTTGGGTATTACTGGCCACGTCATTGTACAGTCAGAAAGCAGTGAAAAGTGTGTCAGAAAACCAGACTCTCTTCAAAAGTCAAGGTCCTGGGAGTCAGTCTCCCCTTGGACTGTAATTCCTTCTTGGTGCTCGCTCATTGCCAGCGGCTGCTAGTGCATAAATGCTGCCCACTGCTGGCCAGTACAAGTAGTGCAGCTACTGCTAGCTAAGGTGCAGGGTAAAAATGTGCGAGGGGTGGATTTCAACAAATGAGAGCATGCCACTGTGGAGGGAAAATGAAGTAGATAGATTTGGTTGTTTGTACGCGCGACCATCTTGTTAACGATGTGTCCCAGAAGGTGACTTCCTGTGGGTCTCCTAAGCAAAGCACCAAATGCTATAAAACTATCATGTGTGTAATTCGTGTTATTGAGTCACCATGAACAAAGCTAGGTCACCCCCCCCCCCCTCCATCCCCACCCGTGTCCCACAGCAAATCCAGACAGAGCTGCTGGACTCGCAGCAGAAGGTGACCCTGCTGGAGGACATGTCCGTGCAGCTGCTGGTGCACACGCAAGGTGGCGACTGCCTGGAGGCCGGCGAGAAGGTTCACGTCATCAGCAACCGGCTCAAGCTGCTCCTGAAGGAAGTGACTAAGGACCTGCAGGAGCTGGAGGAGTTACTGCGGCGGGGGGTGAGAGTCCCAGGGGGCGTGGTCCGTCTGGGAGGGGGGGACAGACTGAATTCCTAAGTGGGGCTTTGGGTTCTCAAAGTATCCTTACAAGGAAACATAGAAACGTTGTAGGGAAATGTTGTATTTTAGGTAACTGTAAGATTATTTGGGAGAAAAAAAGAACAAAATATTGATTAATGACACTGTCAGATTTTCACCAAATCAGTTTGCGTTTGAGTGGGTAAAGGCAGAGCAGGGGTCCCCATAACAGCCGATTCTCCACCTCTTCTCATCCCAGGGTCTGTCGTCGTGGTCTTCTGTGGACGAGCGGGACACCTCTGGCTCTGGGGCGGCCCAGCCTGGGCGGAGCAGTCCGACTCAGGGCCTATCGGTACTGTACCCTCCCATGGTGGTCGGTCCCATGTCCAAATCAATATGTCACCTACGTGTGCTGTTGGTCTGAGGCCAGCATCTCCCCATCCATTCCAGGACAGCTCTCAAACACTCCATTAACCCTCCCCACCCTCCCCCATCTGCATGCACGCTGCCCCCACCCTTAGCTGCCGATCTCCCCACCCCGGCCCGTATCCTTCTCCAGTTGCATTAATTAATTTAGTTTCTCTTTCCTCAGTTTCGCAGGAATTCTGTTTTTGGTTACCTTTACTGTTTTCACGGATACCAACTCTTTAAGATCGCCTTTGAACTGGTTATATTCACCAGTTCCATGTAGCTCATTGTAAAACTTGATGGACAAGAAACATTGGCTTTTCATTTAGCCCGTAGAAGAAAAACACAGTAGTCTGGATAGCCGATCCATCAGAAGGACACTGTGCATCAAGGTCACAGGTCACAAGCCGTTTGGGCTCATAGCTGCCGATGCAAAGACTGTACACTTTACCCAGCAAAGGTGTTACAGTGTGTTTGACCCATTTAAATATGCCAGCGGTTTTATCATTTCTAGCGTACTTAACCACAAAATTTAAATACTCACCCAGACACACAGTTTTTACTTTTTGAATGTATTGCTTTGTTGTATTGCTGAGATACATCAATTGTGAATTGCTCAGCTCTAGTGTTAAATCCACCATTAGGGAAATTAGCCATTACAGTTATGGGAGCTGAAACCAGTAGTAAGAGTTTTAAAAAAAAGTGTGAAAAGTCAATTTCCTTGTTTCCTTGTCGGACTCATTTAATTTCGCTGCTGCCTTATGTTTTTTTCATCAGTAGCTTGCCTTTGTTTGCCTGGACTGAACATGTACTTTTTTTTTTACCCCCCTGTTCATCGCAAACAGCCCCGGGGCAAATGTAGGGTGTTACAGCTGGGACCCCCTGTCAGCCGTCCATACCGCAGGTACAGCTTTCCTGGTTCCTAGAACTCCTGGGAAGATGATGGAACTTGCACACGATCCAAATCTGGGCTCCCCCCCCCCAGCCCCTGACCTTCAGAGTAAAGGGTAGATGTTAGATGAGCTTTCCTGTGCAGACAGGAAGTGCCTGGCCCTCTGAGGGTCGTGCCTGTCAGTTCCATCATCTTCCCCACTTCTAGACGCTCCATGTCTCTGCTAGGTGTCCTGGGAATGTACTTATTGCTGGGACTTCATCATTGATCCCGGACTTTATTTGCTTCCATTGTCCTTAGCTGCTTGACGATCCTGTCTGGATTGCGCTTTCGCGTGCTTCCCTGTCCATCTTTGCCCTCCAATAAGAAAAGAAAAAGCCATCCTGCAGTACCATGCCGTCACACCAGGTGGCGACGCACTTCCAACACAAAACACAGCAGCACCTACAGCAAATTTACTGTTTCTGCAGCAATTTCTTTCTCCTCCCTCCTCTTCCTCAAACATCCTTCTTATCAGACAGGTGGTTAGTTTTATATGGTCTATGGCAACAGGAACTACAGTGCTACTGAAGATGGGATGGATGGCCCGATGATTTAGGATAACTTTAAGGGTTAAGCTGAGCATAACACTCACTTGTTTTTGTTTCACCCACTTTGCTGTCCTAAGCCTATCAGCTACAGGGTGATCAGCTTTGAAAATCACTGGTAGTGCTTTGCCTGGAGATGGTTTAGGTCATTTGATCACTTTTATTAGTAGCATTGTGTTGAATACTGTATGTCCCATTTGGCAACAGGCTCCTCCTCTCTTCTCCACTCCTCTCCCCTCTTCTCCTTCTCCTCTGTCCTCTTCTCCACTCCTCTCCCCTCTTCTCCTTCTCCTCTGTCCTCTTCTCCACTCCTCTCCCCTCTTCTCCTTCTCCTCTGTCCTCTTCTCCACTCCTCTCCCCTCTTCTCCTTCTCCTCTGTCCTCTTCTTCATTCCTCTCCCCTCTTCTCCTCTGTCCTCTTCTCCACTCCTCTCCCCTCTTCTCCTTCTCCTCTGTCCTCTCCTCTACTCTCTTCTCAGTTAACTCAGTTGATCACAACAACATCCTGGAGAAATGAAACGGCTTTGAAATTAGGAATACACATTTCAGTATTCAGGAAACATAATATTTACCGAGACAAATTAATTTATTACGCAAATAAAAGCCAATATTTTTTTCAAAACCGAAATTCTTTCTGGGGTCACTTAAAAAAATTAAAGGGCTCTTACAGCTGTGTCTTTCAGATAAAAATCTGTAATCTGTTTTATGTTGTGTCTGCTTATCTCTGTGCTCTAAGGCCTGAAGTCTCTGCCCCTTGAGTTGTACGTGTCTCTGATTCTGGGGAAAAAACAGTCTACGTCCAGATCTAAAGGGGAAAGCGAAACGCTTATTATATCAGCGACAGAATGCGGTGTGTCGCTACGGCGACGTAGCCGTCTCCGTGACGCCACAGGGAGGCCAGGCTGACATCAGATCAAGGTGGAGGTCAGGTCTAGGAGCCGTGTATCCTGACTGAGGGGGCGGCTTTGCTTTTGTTTTGTCTGAGCAGGTCTTCCCAAGACTCTGGGTCCGGTTCGTCCCGCTGTGAGGCGCGGGCGGTGCCCTTCCTGCTGCGGGTCCTGCGTGCCGCCCTGCCCCTGCAGTTGCTCCTCTTACTGCTGTTGGCCCTGGCCTGTCTGGTGCCTGCTACCCAAGAGGACTACAGCTGTGCCCTCTCCAACAACTTTGCCCGCTCCTTCCACCCCATGCTACGCTACACCAACGGGCCGCCGCCCATATGAGCGTGGTGGCTGGGGGACGGGGGGGGGGGGGGGGGGGTGAGGTGGGGAACTTCCAACAGCCGCCACAGCTGCAGTCTTCAAACCATGTTCCTGAGATCACAGGAAGGCGGCGCCATGTCATTAGCCGCGGTCGGTGTTGTCACGCCACGATCCAGCGAGCCGCACACACGCTCAGTCCGCACGGAGTCACACAGTATTACTCTCTGCAGCGAGGCCCAGAGGGGGCGGACCGCCCCGGTCACGCGCTGTCAGCCGCCCTGTCACACGGCCTGTCACACGGCCTGCACTTCCTGCCATGGGATGAGCCGTTACCACGGCAACAGTCTCACCCAAGGGAAAACCTGTCTACTCAATTATAGGGGCTGAAGATTTTTTAAATTAACATTTTAAATGGCTTATATATGGCAATTATTTTTTTACGTTTATTTTTGGCATGCAATTATAATCTTTGCTTTGAGATACAATCACTGGTAGTCCTCTGTAGGTCTATGAGTGCGGTACCTTTTACCAGTGGCAGTAACTGGATGTATGACTCAATCACTGGATGTGTAATGAAACTGTAAAGATGTAATAATGAAAGTGGTTATTTATCTCTGTACAGTTTGCTAACGCTTTGTTTCTTTGCATTGAATATACACACATATCATGTACGTGCTGTCCTTTGTGGTTATTTTTTTTATATTTACAATTTTTGCCTTTTGAGAGGGCTCTATGAACTGTGCTTTTTACAATAAGAAAATTGGCCATTGTCCAGATTTTAACATTAATTTGGTTTGTCGACAGTTTTTCCTGTTCAGTCTGCCGGGTATTTCCCTTTTATTCAGGTTCAGTGTGCTGATGGAGTAGGTTTTCTGTCCCACTTGGTTTCTGATGAGCCACACCTGCTCCTGGTATTTACCTGAGAACAGGTGTGGCTCATCAGAAGCCGGGTATGATAGAGAACCTACTGGACGGTAGCTGTCCAGGACCGGAGTTGGAGACCCCTGGACAAAGCTAGGCTGGGAGGGAACCGTCTGGGGGACCCCAAGGACTGGGTTGAGAAGCACTGACTTAGGCCTTAGTCTTACCTGCAAAGCCATTCCTTCTCATCCTGAGCTCAGTTCATCCGCTCAGACCAGTTTTATCCACTGTGTCTCGCCAGAAGCTCCAAAGGAGGCAGCAACGACGCCTTTTTGTGGGCATGGCCCCCCCGCTACTGTGTTTTACCGTGAGAAGAGAGCATCATATGCCAAGTCGAATACCCGGTCGAGGCCCTGGTCAAACACTTGGCCAGCAGCGTGTCACCCTGCCTGCTAAAGGTCCACGCTGATGGGCCTCCTCAGTCAGTCTTCATGGTAAATGAGAGAGCAAAAGGTGAGGGAGACCCTGGACAAGAAGCCGGCACATCACAGGGCACATTGTAAATGAACACAATGAAATTACCACTTAATCCCAGGGATTACTGGGCTGACAAGTATCACTGACAAACATTGCTACGAAAATAAAGACTCTCATGAACAATTTTGATGAATTTATTAGTAGGAAAAGCGCATACATGTCGTTATTGACAGCCAGCACCATCACCGAAGTGGGAGGAGCCTCAAATCACTGCAGTATTGCAGTATCCCTGTTGTGTCAGCAATTTAAATTTAAAATGTAAACCGTTGTCACTTTAAACTCTCACATGTGGTGTGCTTATGGAACAGCCACCACAAAGTGCATTTCAAGTCCCAGAGCAGAAATACAGCAAAAAAAAGTGGTTAAATAACTGATCGGAAATGTTTTCCCGGTATGTTTACATGACGGACAAGACACATACATGTAGATCCAAGAAAAGCAGTCAAATGTCCGTAAACACTACAAAGGCTCCGGTCTACTACACAACATGAAGGCTTTTTATGAAGTCAGAAAACAGGATGAACATAAACCATTTAAGAGCCCGGAAATCACTATTAGGCTGCTTTATTGACACCATGAACCTATGACACACTACTTTGTTAAAGGCTGCGCTGCAATTCCGGCCCCAGCTGAGTGCCCTCAGTGGGGACCATCACAGCCAGATACATACAGCTCCACGACCAGCCACCCAAAGTGCCGAATGTAGTAACAGTACTTCAAGCACTGATTTAGGATTCAACCAAATAACTGGTACAGTCAGCCAATTTTCAACCCCTAAACCTCATGATTGGATAAAAACTAAGAAAACAGTTTTGCAACCTTTATAAACGTTCACAAAAAAAAAAAAATCAAAATGGTGCAATTAAAATGAAAGAATTAATTTATCTTTGAAGCAATAGAATTATGCATGTAGGTTACTGTAATATTGAAAACATATACTAGTGATAAGTAGTAAGTAAGATTTAGCCACTGACATTTTGTGCCGTCACATAATACAATGCTTTCGAGGATAATTTCCCATGTTGCTGCACTTCCTGTGCGTGTCAGCACTTCCTTGCTGCACTTCCTGTGTCTGTCAGACTCCATCACTTCCTGTGCGTGTCAGCACTTCCTTGCTGCACTTCCTGTGTCTGTCAGACTCCATCACTTCCTGCGAGGATTCTGCTGCTCATTGCTGGGGCAGAAGAACTGTACTACAGCAAACCGCCCTCCGGTCATCCAGTCAGGCTCCTGGGCCGTCAGGTCCTCCCCACGGCCCGGAGGGAGGCCCACCTGCACGTTGGCCTTCAGGGTCCGTAGACTACAGAGCGGTGCAGGTTCGAATCCCCTCAGGGCCTTCTGGAAGGGCACGGTGTGGTCCCAAGCCCGGTCACTGGTCAGCTTCCTGTAGTTAAGATCACCCTTAAACAGGATCAAATGTGACTGCTGGAGGAAGTTATGCAGGTCAGGTGCATCGGCTGCCATGTCGCAAAATTCGTGCGGGAGGGTCCAGAACAGGTGGCTGTGGAAGGACCAGACCCCGTCCTTCATGTACTTCTGCCATCGGGCACCACACCAGGACACCCACCTGTGATTAGTCGCTAATGTCTGCTTTATGGTCCAATCAAAATCTTTCCTGGTGGTGTCAGAGACAAACCATGGAATGGACTTCCCATGGAAGCAGATTTCTCGAGCAAGTCCAGAGGACACGAGGAAATCAGCCAGGACCAGGTCAGTGACCAGCTCAAAGCCTGCGTTGTCCAGGATGAAGTCCACCCTCACCTGTGGCTTCTCCCCCGACATGTTGCTGTTCATCAGGGTGGACCAGACCATGCTGGAGTCATCCACCAAGATGAAGTGCTTCAGCTCTTCAAGTGAATCAATAGGGCTGCATTTCTGGGCGTTCTCCTTACCCGCTGATATCGACAAGTCACACCTGTTTCCCCATAAGGACACCTTAAAAAAAAGAATACAAGACATTAAAGTAACCAAATGACCCAAGAAACACAAGTAACAGACACATACTTAACTTGACAGCAGTGAATCACTCTCCCTTCTGGACAAGGTATGATATTCGAAGGTATTTTAACAAAAACACTACGCTATTGTTAGCAAAAATTTCCCAAGTCACTGGCAGTGACCCCCTCCCCAATCGCCAGTCAGTGCTGACCTGCAGCAGCTGAAGGAAATGCCCCTGAAGCTGGCTATCGGGGAGCCCCTCTACGCCTTCCAGCAGCCCATGCAGGTGTGTGCAGATGGCTTTTATGGCTTGTTGGGACTCAAAGTAGCTCTGCGTTTTGGCCTCCTTGAACACGTCGAAATCACTGACTGGGGGACTGGAGGCAACAAGAGAAAAAATAACGTTAACCTCAAAAACAGCCAGTCTTCACAGTAGATCAGGTGTAATATACTACGTTCAACTAAATTCAATTCAATGCATTTTATATAGCACCTTTCACATGCTTTACGTGGGTGTATTGTAATACATTACTGCATCATATATACAGAACACAGGGAAAAAAGTTAAAGCCAATATGCATGTCTTCATATAACATTTTTACACCAATACATTAGGTTTTAATATCAAGTGCAACCTCATTGTCCTACTTGGGTGGATGACATCAATTTGTAGTACTAAATGGGAAAAATTATACACCCAAACCTACAGTAGCAGCAAGGACTATTGGCAGTCACTGCAAAAACCATGAAAATAATGCATGCAAAATGGGGTGCAATCTGCACCTAATAACCACCCCCATTAAGGGCCTCTATATTTTCGAGCAGCTTACTTTAAGTGAAGGGATTCCTGGATCCTGCGATACATGTAGCATTCCACGTAAAGCCAGGGGGATTTAAACCAGCTGGGAGCTTCCTGCTTGTCCAATAATTCCTGCTGCTTCTGCAGATACTGGTTCCAGAGGTCCGTATCAGCCATCCCGTCTTCCAGTTCCAGGATGGGCTTGTCCGTTTGTAGCTCATTCCTTAGTTTGGACAAGAGGGAAATTGTTCTCTTTTCTGCCTGGACACCTTCCTGGATAAAATTCATACCATGACAAGATATATTATGAACAGTTTCGAATATTTACCAGTTGATGAATGCTTCATTGTAATTTATAACAAACATTGTAGGATGGCATATGTGACAGCAATGCATGGAGATAAAGCTGAACAGGATTTTGAGATTCTAGATCACACTTGTACAAGGAGTATGATTTACATTTGGCAGTGTGACAGCAATGACGCAATGTTCCCGTATTCTACACAATTGCTGATTCCTTCTCCAAAACGGAAACTGTCGGATATACAGATTAAAAATATCCTCACCTCTCCATGCTCTTCGAAAAACTTGTTTTTATTTCGATGGATGGTGTCGATTACTTTGGTAAGAATGGTCGGCAGTCTGTCCTTCACTGTCATGTATGCAAAAGACCTGTGGGTTGGAAAATGACAATTAGTAGCTAGCCCACACGCAACACTAACATTCAAATCGGCCATAAACGTTCAACACATATTTCGCGTAGAAGACGTTCACTGGCATAACTTGCTGTCAGCGAATGAAATGGTTACTGCTAACAGCGATATATATAATGGACAAAAATGAACAGAACAATTAGCTGTCACAACTTAAATACTTGCTTAACGTAATAAGATCCTCAATGTTGCTACTTTAAATGTAAAACTGGTCACAACAACTTATTTTCATAATTTCCCCCATGCACAATTGCGGACATTCACTCCAGTGTTATACTGTGCTGTGTCAAACTGTAATGCAGGCACATACCCTACAAATTTAGCAGAGAGAGACCAGGGAACATCTATAACAGAAGCGTGCGCCGCCATCTTGGCAACCCGGAAGTAGCCCAATGAGCATTCAAATGAAACTTTATTGGCCGGGACACAGCGGTCACAGCGATGGAGGCATGGATGTAGTGTTATGGCACACATTAGTGTAGGTTTTTTTTTAATTTATTTTAAATAATACCCCAGAATCGTCGACGTTAAATGTCTTATCTTTTTAAACATAACAAGTCGATGCTTTAAAATTTAATTTCTCCGGTACTTACATTATCTGCCTCGTCTTTTCTTTTTTACTGTTAAGTTAGTTGACTATAGGATGTAAATTAATGAACGTCGATATTGTTAATAATCACATTGTTTGAGGTAAAGCTATGCGTGTGGTCAGTTTTGTGACAGCAGGTGATTAATGGCGATGTGGCTGGATGAACTCTCTTTGACTGGCTAACTTGTTCAAGGTCAGTTTCTTTGTAATTGGCTTAATACCGGCTAAGTTTGAAGCGAGTTGGCTGCAGTGATCTGCAGACCTATGCACTGAGCTCCCAATATTGTATCGAGGCACGCCTTCCAGTTGATCCCATTACTGTGGTATTCTGACCGTGGAAGACAGGACAGTGTTTCTTTTGGCATAAATGTTATTAATCTGTGACTTGTGGTGGTGCTCATATAACTAAGATCACACTCACCCCTGTTTAGATGCGGTATGTTTATTAGGTTTGGCAGAGCCCTAACCCGGATCCGGGAGTCCCTGGGCAAGACTTGCTTTTTTGATCACCATCCACATTATCGGGTGTCATCAGCGTCCTGGAGCCACCCAGTCGTGTCGCTGGCTGCAAAATCCCAGCCATGGGTTCGCCTATCAGGCGATCGGCGATACAGTGGGGACTCTCTCGTCATTTCCCGTCTAGGACGAGGCAAATGCTTTCTTGGGCCGGACCTGTTCTTCCTCTCCTGCCCGCAAAGCTCAAAGTTCAACGTGCGGCTACAATCCACATCCGTGTCCTTACCGGGTAAAAAACAGGGAGCAGCTACAGCAAAGAGGCCGCCCAAGGGACCAAGGACCAAGCAGCCATCCCGAGCCAATGTAGCCGCCCAAGAGGACGATGGCACGGTACTTGAAGCGCTGCCAACCGGGATCATGAGATCAAGACAGTCCAAACAGTGCTGAGGCGATCTGATTTGTCTGTAATCATGCATCGTGTCTGTAATGTTTAAAATCAGATTGTGAGCATACTTTTCGACCTCAGATAAATATTCGTTCAGCAGATTTTATGATTGTGAGTGTCGATTTGAAGGAACCTATGATATAATCTGATTAATTCTCAGAACCACTTTGTGAATGTTTAGTTAACCTGTGCAAGAGACATGAATGTTGTAAAGTCACACACTGTGCATATTAGGGTGAGTGTAATGATCTCACTGGTGTACTGAAAATTGCATTGTATTGTAGAAGTATATGTTGATTACTAATACAGCCCTGCAGGTATCATACTCCCTCTTGCAGTTCTGTGAATGTGTCGTCCTCATGTCCCATAGGAAGTAATGCAGTGTGTCGCATTTGCCACTGCCGACCACTACGTGTTACCGTCGCTCTGTCATGACCTGGTAGCCAACGGGTTCTTTGAAGTCAAAGACTTTCCCAGAGGTGTGTGTGCTCATGCTCCAGCAATGGCTGAGACTTTCCTACTGTAGCTGCTGTGTCATATTTATGGAGACCCTTCCGTGTTTGTGCTTTTAGATGCTTCCAACGTCCTCGTCATGGGCACGGAGATGGCAGCGAAGCCCTATGACCAACCGCTCATGTTTTTCTTCCGGTAAGTTTGAGTTGATGATGAGATTATGAGCCTGAAATTTATATGGTATCATGATATTCAGCTTCAGTGGTTGTGGTCGCCATCATTGCATCCTGGCCCCATTTTTTCTCCCAGGGAAGGTGCTGTTGTTTTCTGGAATGTGGAGGAGAGGACGGTGAGTTTGCTGAAGCCTGTGGAAAGGGCCCCCCTTTCAGTCCCATTACTCTTTATTGTTAAGGACTCATTGGGCATGTAGATGTCCAACAGACACTTGCACTGGGTTTTTCCTGCAATTGTCAGGCTGGTTTACTTGAAGTCTTATGTCATTTTTTAAAAAGATACCTGTCGCTATTATTTTTGCGTAATGCGACAGCTGTTTAAATTCTTGCAACGCAAGGGCGACATGTAGCACAGAGCTATTCAACTCACGGTCCTCAAGGGCCGAGCCCAGCTGATTTTCCAGCCTTCCTTCACCTGTGAGCCAGGTGTGAAGCCTCTGACCAATCAGAATCAGTAATTATTAAACTAACTACCTGGGAGAACTGAAAACAAGGCCTGGATTTGGAATCGGGGGCCTGAATTGAATAGCCCTGATGTAGCATGACCAAAACTTCATATATTGTTATTCTGTAAACAAAAACTTGGACTATTAGACTCATAATCAGTTGAAATTATATGGGTTTTGCTCTGTGGCTCTGCACAGAAAATAGCATTTTGCTAATAACTGTAATCACAAGATGCAGCGACACGATTGGCACATGGTCTTGGCGGTCCTGCGTTTCAGATGAAGCTGGTGATGAGGACCCTGGAGCAGCACGAGATCCAGCCATATGAGGTGGCCCTCGTGCACTGGGAGAACGAGGAGATCGGCTACTCCCTGGGCGCGTAGGTGCATCTCGGAACGCTCTCCGTTGCCGTGCCAGGCCGGCCCTGTCTGGTTTGTTTCTCACCTAATTTTTTACGCAGCTCAGAGTCTCTGTTAAACCCAGATTAAGACGGTTTCGCTGTGATGGAGCTATGAGCGAGCTGATGAAACCAGACCCGGCTCCATGTTGGTTAGCTGCTGTAAAATATCCATTACCTTGATGCCTGTTGTTTGACTGGTCGCCATCTAGCCTTTCCTGATTTTCTGATATTTAAGTACATTTTTGTACACAATATTCAAATCTTATGCATAAAATCATGTATATAGTAAGCAAGAATTAGATACATTTAACAAATGATTTATTAATTTTGTTTACTATTCAACCATCCATTTTCCCATAATGCTTATCCATCTCATGGTTTTATATGTACGTAATACAATGAAACCTACTATAAATTAAAAATCACAATAACTCCTCTGTACATATATAGCTTTCGTATAAATTTATTTGTATAAATGAAGCATTGGTTCAGTGTCATGTCAGACATCATTTTGTTGATGTGTGATTCCGTACGAAAAGTGTAGCACAGGATTGAATTACTGGGCCGATGTTCCTGGGGTCTCCGGGGCCTCTGCTGATGCAGTGGGTCTGTGTTTCATCCCAGAGGGAGCTCCAAACTGCACCATGGGAGCTTCCACCTGGACAGCGAGCTGGAGCAGGACCTGGCTGTGCTGGAGAAGTTCGCGTTCTCCAACGCGCTCTCGCTGTCAGGTGGAGCTCCTTCTTCTCTGTTCCCGTCGTACCAGCTGCCATCCCTTGTCCTCACGTGCTCCTCGGCGAGCGGCGAATGTTCACGGCTTCTTTGTAAATGTAGCTGATCCTAGTCCGGCTGTAGAACGCTGTCATTAAAAGCGTAAAGACCGTAAATTGGATTTGGGGGGTGGTGCACCGTTTTGGGGTGAGGTGGGGGGGGGGGGGCTGTTCGTCTTCTGTGGATAAGAGCCATGAGATTATAATCTTTTTGTTTTTACGACTATTGCTTTGAAACGGCTCCTCTAATGCACCTCGCAGCTAAAACGGTTTGGCCTTGTGTAGATATGGTTTGTTATTGGTCTGCCCCGTTCCAGCCCTGATTGGCTCAGTTCTGTCCACTCCAGTTCCGTGAGCAGCCTCTCGCACAGCTGGGGTGCTGAGCACCTCCCCCGTCTGCGGCTTCACGGCGTTCTAACCTTTTACATAATTGATCAGCGCGGATGGGTGCCTGCCCCTGGGGCATCATTCAAGCAAGACGCCATCCTCGGGCGTCCCTTGTTCGGGGTGACCGTTACCATGGAGACGCTAAGCCCATCTGTGAAAGAGGTGCAGCACCAGGGAGGGGTGCCTGGGGGGGACATTAAATTTTGGGGAAGGAGTCCCTTTGTTCTTGGTTTTGTGAAGGTTTGGGACTCAAATATGATCTGCGATCTCAGTCTTCATGTTGGGACGTCACTGGTCCCAGTATGACGCACTTTGTCCTTGTAGACTTTAATTGGAGTTTGTTTTTGTTTTTTTTTTGTGGGGGGGCATCTTGGTCAGCAGAAGGGTATGATGCAGGTGCAAAGCTCATCGTTCTTTTAGCTGCAGCTGGAAGCCCATTAGATATTCATTGTTCATGTTTATCGCTAGAACTGGAAGCCTGATAAAATGCTGTTTGGGCAAAAATTTCAAATGAATTAGCAGATGTTCACAGCTCACATTTTATATTTAACTGTCACCTGAATTCCAGGGTTCGGGGGTTCAAAACCTTCCATCAATAATAGATCAATTTTTCCCTCTAGTAACATTAGTCTGTTGGTAACTGGTAATTAGCAGCTGTGTGTCTAACTTGGAGGTATTATGTTTAATATTATGATCCATTTTTTCTCCTTTTTTGGGTCACAGTGAAGTTGGCCATCTGGGAGGTGTCTCTGGACAACTTTGTTGACTCGATTCAGTCCATTCCTGAGGTAGGTGCACTAGGCCTCATGGGATACCAGCTCACTTTGTTACTTCCTAAGCAGTTTCATGAGAACAGCAGGCATTGGGATATTTTAAGACACATCTTCCGGAAATATGCTTGCTTCCACCAGCTGCGAAAGATATCCCCAAAAGGCTTGTTGGATGACACGCATCGGTCACATTTCTGCCGTATTTGAGCATATTTGCTTTGTCTGAGAACAATGACAAGATGTATGTTTTCCATGGTGGTAATGCTTGTCAGATTGTAGCGTACCCTCTTGGAAGACTACATAAGGCTGGATATTACCTGAGAGAAGCTGTTTCAGAAATGAGATTCAGTTTGGGGGGGGGGGAGGTTAAAGAATTTGGTCTGTCCACTCACCACATTTAGCCTCTGATGAGAACAAATTCAGGATTTAAATCCACCAGGAGAGTCGTCTGCTGAGATTCATAGCCTGTGAATTTATCTCGAGTAGATGCTCAAGTCGGGGAAGAGAGTGAAACTGTCCAGAGCAGAGGTCATGCAAAAAATCGGCGAGCTCTTCGCCCTGCGGTAAGAACTCCCAAAGACCACAATACGGCAAACTCCCAATGGTCTCCCATCCTCGTCAGTTCAGCACATACCTCTCCCCATTCTGCCTCACAGACATCGGATCAACCTCAGCTCGGACCTGCTCATCACCCCCGACTTCTACTGGGACAGAGAGAACCTGGAGCAGCTCTACGATAAGACTTGCCAGTTCCTCAGCATCAATCGCAGAGTCAAGGTGAGACTCTCCCATGTCTAGCTGCAAATTCTCACCCATAGTGTTATTTTGTTTAAGTGGTTTGTAAGAACTGCTCGTTCGGGCTTTCAGACAAAACTGTTCTGAACCATGTGGCCCACCTGTAGGGGGCAGAGTGGTGTGCAGCCAGACCCAGATGCGGGTTCCCCCAGTACGCCGCTCCAGCCATGACGCGTTGTGCTGTATCGTTGCAGGTGATGAACGAGAAGCTGCAGCACTGCACCGAGCTGACGGACCTGATGCGGAACCACTTGAGCGAGAAACACGGACTGCGGCTGGAATGGATGATCGTCATTCTCATCACCATCGAGGTCGGGAGGTCATGTTTGCAAGTGGCAGGGTGCCTTGGTCGCTCGGTGGGGAAGGCAGTCACCGGGTCCATTCCCCAAATACTGTGTGTGTGTGTGTGAAACACTGTGATTCAACAGGCAGAACCTTGGGCAGAGGTCAAAGTTGTCTTTTTGGGGATCAGGAGAGGGCTTTACAATGGAAGATCAATGGGGCAAATAGACAAAAAAAATAGCCATTATACCAGAAACAAACAAATACTCACTGTAAATACACAGAATGACAATGACTTTCCTGTCTTGACCAAACTGGTCCACATTATAGGGGCCAAAACATGCCAATTTGTACAAGTCACAGGGATAATGGAACAAGTCAGCACAGTTATTAGTCACATGATGCCAGTGACCCCACTGCTCCTCCAACCACCTGAAGCGGATCGTTAAACTGCGTATGAAGAATCATCTCTAAAACTGGCAGGAAGGGTCAGGTGCATTTTGAGAGTGAATTCATAAGGGTTGACATGCCTGGACTTTGACATTGATTAACTACATTACATCATTAATAGAGTTAATCATTCTGGTTCTTGATACTGGTGTTTTCAGAGGAGTGTCTGTGGACAGGAAGTTTATTGATAAACAAGCATGGATTATACCCCGGTGGTGGCAAAACAGTGATGTAATCAAAGGGTTGTGCTGTTCAAACGCTGCCGGCTTCTTTACCACAGGCAAGTGCTATGATATCCAGCTTCCCGCCTCAGCCCTTTCCTCATTGGATATCTGAGTGTGATTGAGCTCCTTGCCAGCAAACCAAAGAGTGCTTTCAGGTGCTTGATTTATTTGCCATGCTACTGCAATCTTCCTAAAAGCATTCCTTTTCTTTGCCCCCGGTAGGTAATGTTTGAACTTGCAAGAGTCATCTTCTGATCAGCTCCCCCTCCGATGGACATTCTTCTTCACGGCTGCAGGGGGTGCACGTTTCAGCGGTCATTAGAAGAGAAGAGTATATTTAGGAATTTGTTTAATTACTGCAAGTACATGTAGATACTGCACTCATTTTAAGTATGAAGAACGCTGGCAGTATCCGTCATTTTACTTCCACAGGCTGGCACAGATTATTGAAATGCGTTGTGGACCTTCCATTTGGATTGAAGCGTGGGCTTCTCCTCCACTTCCCCTGCTTTTCTGAGTGTGGAATCCACCTGGAGTGGTGTCTCAGCTAATTCACAGGTGTGGCCGGATAAAGTCAAGCTGTCCCTCCCCCTCCCCATGTCAAGCTGTCGTTTGGGCAGGTGTTTCCTCAAACTCCATGCCCTGTAAATCCCTGGTGACTTTTTGACAAACTGGCTGTTGATTAATGGTGTTTTTCTCCAGCCCTGGACGCTGCCTTGGGGATAAAGTTCTAACACAGGGGAGAAGTGAGCACAAGCAGATCAAGGAGAGCTGAGATGTGGACCATGGTTTTGGTTTTACTGAGAGGGAGATCTAGAGGTCTGACCACTTAGGCTATGTCAGTATGTGCTCCTGGTGCTGTACTGTCTGATTCTGTTGCTCATGTCTTTCTGTATTTTTTGCAAGTGTAGCTATGCTATTTATAAAACAAATAAAATCTCGTACATGCTGTTACAGTATCAGAATCGGTAACTCTATATGAAATTCCAGTTTAAAACAGTAGACCTTATCTCCATTATCTAGTCTTGACGGGGGTGTGTGTGTGTGTGTGTGTGTGTATATATTTAAATATATATATAATCTCAGTTTTAGCTGCTCAAGAGCGCAATCAATCAAACAACTAGATCAACTAGGAGTCCATTGCAAGCTTGGGATAAACGAGAATGAACCCGTTCTGACAAACCTTAAAAAATATCTATGAAGATACTGGCTGGATCAAGTTTTCGCAGTGTCCCGGGCCTTCATTTTCCACTGAGGTCTTCTGGCTGAGGTTAGGCGTTGTAGGTCTACTGTAGCAGATATCAATCAGACAAACGGTAGGGTGACTTGAATCGACTTTTATTTGCCAAATAAAACTACTTAAAAAAGCGAAAACGACAAAGTATTACATCTAAATACTTTAAACTGGTTTTATATTTTTAACGGTAACGTAAATACATACGCGGTTTACTCGGTTTGGTATTTTTTTTATTTTTACATGCGCTTAAATAACGATATAAATATTAAAATGTCGGGAAACTGCGCTGTAATGTGCCCACGCAGTGTTTTCTCCACAAACAACGGCGCCGGGCGAAACTGCAAGGCTGAGAGGGGAGGGAGAGCAGATCTCCGTCGCGGCTCGGAGCTCCTCGCACATGGCATCGTTGATGGCACCCAGGTCACCAATGCAGCGCAGAGTCGGTATTCATGTGCGATTAAATGTGCGCTGTATTGCTAAACTATTAATACCCACTAAAATCTTAACAACTGGTCCTTAACTAGTTTATGAATTCAACTATTGTTTCGTGCAACATAGCTAGGCTTCGCTTACCGACTGGTCGGATTCTCGGAAGATTTTATAACCTCGTTTTATTAGGCTACTGTCTTCAATTAAGTAGATCCTTTAGTAAAAATTGTACCTTGGCGCCGCGCAAGAAATTAGAGGTTTGGTGCGTCGGTCCGTTAAACGATCGAGAACTTCCTTTATTCTAAATGTGAAATTATAGACCGCAAGAAGCTTTTCAACATTTACGGTATACGTTTACACGCACGAAACACCTTTATGTAGTTGAACTGGTTAGAAAACAAAACTGTTTCAGCACTGGGATTTTCGTTGTAATTTACACTTGTACATTTTCACTTGGTCACGGGAAAATTCCCATGTGAAAATGTGGTGTTTAGATTAACTAAAGGGAAGACACATTTCTGACTAAATTAATCGGAAACCACACATACACATACATAGTTTGCTTTTCTGATTAAACATCTTGTCAAACCAGGTGGCTTTCAACATGTGTGATACGTCCTCGCAATTAATAGCTCAAAATTATAAAAGTTTAAATTAAACACATTATTTAGCATTATAATTCTGCCGACAAAAATGTATGCACAAATAAATACATGCATAATTGCATATCATGAATATGCTTAAAAACGCTTTATCTTAACGTCACCGTGCAGCTTGTATTTAGCTTGTTTACAACTAACCGGGTAAATTATACAAGCCTACGTGAACCCCTTTTTCATGGGGGTGGGCTGGGCTCTGACCCGCGGCTGTTTTTCTTCCCAAATCGGTCTAGTTATATTACATGCCCGATCACTTGGATTAAATAAATCAAACGACTGCAGCGCAGCCGATATTGACCTTTGGCTACATTAAGTATGTGCCGGGTAACTATTCACATGGTGGCACCCCTAAAACAGCAGCAAACGCGAGTCAGATTTGGAGAGAAAGGCAGGCGAGCGCGAGAAGGGTCCGGGACAGTGGGCTCTACAACTGCTGTTTTTTAAGTGATTTAGACAGTCATGTGATCGTAACGTAACGCGACCGGAAAACACCGACGACCATCGCCGCCAATGCTGCGTTCAGAGGAACAGAGCAGCTGCGAGCCCAGCGGACAAGTCCCCGGTAACAAACAGCGACACGCCGAAGAAGAGCGCAAGAGGTGAGGCGTCCGCCGCCGCCGCGCTTTCACAACCGCCACCGTTCGTATCTTTGTTTTGTTTGAAATGAGCTGGTAGCGTTTCAGCCACTTTGAAGTTTAAAAATACATTCGGTGACCACCCTTCCCCCTGCGTGCGTGCGTGTGTGCGCGCGTGTGTCCGTTCCGCGCGGGGGCTCCAGTCCGTCCGGCTCCGCGCTGCCGCCTTCCCGGCCGTCGGGCTCAGAGTGGTGGCTGGGAAGCCTGGGAACCGCTCGCCCGCTTCGCTGGGGAAGGGGCTCGGCGACGCGAAGCGGACCCGTAACCGGGAAAGCGTCGGACAGTTTGTGCCGTGGGGAAGCGAGGAGGGGGGGTGGGTGGCTGGGGTAGGGGGAGAGAGAGAGAGAGAGAGAGAGCGAGCGAGCCTGAGCGAAGGCGTGCATGTGTCGGTTCTCGGTCGGTTTATTTTTTGTTTGTGAGGCAAGCGCACTGCGGAAGTGGTTTTACTCTGCGGGAGAGCTGTCTGACCCACGTGTCTCCGCTGGGGGCGGGCCTTTCTTACACACACACACACACACACACACACGCGCGCACGCACACACACACGTAAATATACATATGCATACACTCCTTGGGCACTTCGTTTATGTTCCCTTTCCTCCAAAACTAGCACTTTCTGTTAAGAGCAGCTCCCACTTCTGTGTAACGGCTGGTTTCACAGCGCGCAGAGAAAGTCACCAGCTCGCTGCCAGTTGCATGCGACCGAAAAGATGCATGACAGCAGCTCAGCCGTGTGTCCACATTGTGGTTTGTTAAATTATTTATGAGTTACTTTAGAACAATCACCGTGGTGTCATGTTACGTTTTGCGGTGGTCTGCTTAAAATTTGTCTTTACTTAAAAAAGTTATTTGACCATTCCTCACTTGACTGCATATTCTGGCTGGGGTATTAGGAGGGGGTCTTGAACCTATGCCAGGCAGCAGAGGGCACAATACAGAGATACACCCCAGATGGGATGCCAGTCTATTGCATCACACGCACACGCACGCACACACACACACACACTCACTCACTCTCTCTCTCTACAGGGAATTCAGTAGTGCCATTTAACTGTTACCCACTGCTTATCTTTGAACTGTGGGAGGAAACCACATGACATGGGACATGCAAACTCCACACACACGCAGAGCAGACGTGGGATTCAAACCCCCAACCCCGGAGGTGTGAGTCAACACTGTTACCCACTGAGTTGCTATGCCACCAAATTAAAAAAACTGTTGTGAACCTCAAAACGTGTAAAAAAAATTAATATATATATATATATATATGTATGGGAGAGGTCAGCCGTTGTTTTGAGTTTAAATTAAAATTGTCATCTTTTTGTCTGGTGGTTTTGTTCCCGGATTCTTTCTTGCCTGTTGACTTTGCTAAATAAAACTTACTTAACTGACCCCGTCCTTTGTAATAAAGTTACGCATGGAGTCCACCGTCTGTACCATGGTAAGCTCTCAGACACTTCCCAGCTGCCTGTCACTGTTTTATATTTGTGTTAATGATGCACGTGATTATGTAACCTTTGTATTGATACAGGGGAAGTGTATTAGCATTAATCATAATACTGGTTTGCTACAGTCCTACTCGCAATGCCATCGCTAGACCTTAGTCATTTCTTCTGTATCCCCTAGGGCTTGTTTTTTGTGCTTAACTCCAACTAATGTAAGCGGTGCCCAGGCTTCAGGGCAAGGCGGCAGTCAGTCACATGGTTGCCATGGCAGCCGTGGGGTCAGAGTTTGATATGTGGCCTTGAAGCTTCTGATGTGGGAACCAGTAAGCTCTTCATAGCCACCTACCTATGTAACTGACCTGATCCTGACCCCTGTCCTGTGCTGGGCTCCGCAGCCTGGTCGCGGAAAGGGGGAGGGAGGGATTGAACATGGCGGAATAAGCAAACCCTAACCTTTTGTAGTTGGAATGGATCCTGAGCGGGAATAATAAACAGCAAGAGTGCACGGCTTCTCAAAAGTTTTTATAAAAATACATTCCTCCCCTCTCCGGAGAGGTGACCCTTGGATGGCGACGTGAATCCCAACCCCCGTGGGGTTATACGTCAGCTCACCCCCTTCCCCTTTCCCAATTCCTGCCTCTTCCTTCACCGCTGGATTCCTCCTTCCTGCCCCCTCAAGACATGGCTTTTTCCCAGAATAACCAGTGACATGCTCTGGAATCTACATTTTAAGCAGATCCGTATGTTTTGGGCGTATTTACACACAGCCCCATTAATCTTGTTTTGAAATGTAAAAATCAGGAACGAATAATATTAATGGTATGACCTAGGAGTAGGGGCGGGTTACAATATATTACGGGCTTTCGTCCGATATCAATTTAAAGTTAACAAAACACATTGTGAAATATGCTGAGCTTTGAAAACAAAGAGGGGAGTTGAAGTCGGTGGCAGGAAGCTCATGAGACGTCTTAATTTGGCTTTCTGCAGTCTTGTTGTTTTAACCCGTTGTTAAATCCCCAAAATACAGATGTCTAGGGATTTCCTGGAGGGACCGGGGGTGGGTTTCTGCTGTATAGCAGTATGGTTTCTATGTGATGCCTTTCCTTGCTAACATGGATAGTCTTGGAGTGTTGGGTCATGGCAGATTTCAATCAGGCGCGATGTGTTTTTGTTTTCGTCTTACCCCTCAACGTCTACCACGGTTCACTCTTGGCGATGTGAATGCCAGCCAAGTTTTGAGAGATCCTCCCATCTCTGATGTCTGTTGTAAACAACACAGGTAACACGCATGGTAGTCTTTGGCAGTTCTGGGTAATTTCTCATCAGCCACCTCCCAGATTACATATGAAAGTTTTAGATAAACACGCACCTTGTGAAGATGATATGGTAAAATGCCCTTGTAAGGTATCCTGCCATCTGCCTGTTCATCAGTGCCCTCGGTCCTTCTCTCATAACTTGATACTGAGTTTATCCGATTATTAATATTTATTGGATGTAAAATCCCCAGAATAGCAAGGGTAGTGATGACTCCAATAGGTGTGTGTCTGTGTGGGTCATGTATGTATTACATTCTGGAGATTAAATGTCCTCACAATGGGATAAAAACCTGTTATTTTGATGATGTGGGGACCATTTTTTGAGTCCCCACAAGGAGGATCTCGATTTTTAAAAAAATCTATGACTGCAATCAAAAAACTAAAAATGCCAAAAGTCTTGTATTTTGTTTGGTTACTTATGGTTAAGGTTAGGGCTGGGTAGAGGTTAAGGTTGTCATTGCTGTGACAGGGTTTTTCCTATTGAAATGAATGGATGGTCCCCACGAAGATATGAATACAAACGTGTGTGTGTGTGTGTGTGTGTTTGTGTGTGTGTAAACAGTCATTGTTGGTCTGTGTTTGACAGATTTCAGGAATTAGCTTACAGAGGTAGTCCACATTTCTATATGAATTTGTGACCATTTGGTGTGGTAAATTGCTGAAGTATCTGTCATAGTAGTATTAATGAACATCATGTCTTTATTGTCAATTTTTTTTCTGTCAAGTGTGTGATACTGTGGAAGTTGTTGGCTTTTGAATTGTTGACAGATTTTTTTTTTAACGAATTATGGTTTGTTCGTAGTTTTGAACTATAAATATGACGTGAAACTGCTAAACGAAGCTGGTAAATGTCCGTAAGTGCATCTTTCTCCGTCCTGATCGGTGTCTGTGGGTCTCTGGTCATATAGCTATTCGCTTACAAGTCCCCCTTCCTCTTCCCCCCCACCTGAAGCACCCAGTGAGCGATGTGTGACTTGTGTGCTCTCGCCACATGCATGTGCCAGCCGCATGGTCTCACGAGCCCTGGGGGTCACAGGCTGTTCCGTGCTCAGCTACATGGACACAGCCGATCCGTCCGTGTTTCAGTTCTCACACACTTCATGCAGGACTGGGAGGACTGGGAGGACCGGGGGGGAAGGGAGGAGACTGAGTGGCTTAATAAGCTGTGAAGTCATGCAGTATCCAGAGTAAACCTCACACCCACATAGTGCAAATGAGCACGGCTGCAGCAAACAGCATTATATTTTCAAACCCTAGTTAAGAGCTGCTTCTTGTTGATAAGCTGAATCAAGTTCAGACTCCACTTCAGTCTGCGCCCACGTTGTGATTTGCTGCGCTGTGAATAAGACTTATTGATGTGCTTTAAAACATCCAACAGCTCTTGCTCCGAGTAGCGCAAGCCAGCCCTTTTAAATGCTGTGCGCCTCTTTACCATACTTCTGCAAAGCATGATCGCCCGCGCTGGGCATGTGCTCGGCTGGGTGAGTGTGCTTCGCACTCACGGGAGCACGCTGGAATAGTGCATGAGGAGACCTGAACAGTGAGCTTCGCTTCTCTGGTTGGTTGAGGGCTGCTTACTTCCCCTTGTGTGTCGCCTTGGTGGGTGGGGGGTCGTTGAGCTCTGGCCCTGAGCGTAACAGGAAGCAGCCTTATCTCGCTCTCTCTCCATGTAACAGGTTGAAGAATGGAGTTGGCCAACCATGGTCTTGTCCTCCTGCAGCAGCTCAACGCTCAGAGGGAGTTCGGTTTCCTGTGCGATTGCACCGTGGCCATCGGAGACGTGTTCTTCAAAGCACACAAAGCCGTGCTGGCTGCCTTCTCCAACTACTTCAGGATGCTCTTCATCCACCAGGACAGGTAACGCCAGTGGCCACCTCTACCCAGGGGGCACTGCTGTCACGGATGGGTGTTGCTTTGTTGAAGGGGGTGGATTCATCAACGTGTGAGTGAGTGTGAACAAATATAAATGCAAACGAGAGATGAATTTTAAGCGTAATGTTTGGATTGCTTGTAAAGGGAATTAGCCTGAGAAGTGCATTGTGAAGCTGCGATTGACTCTGGCCTTCCGTAGTGACTGTGTGCGGCTGAAGCCTGCGGACATCCAGCCCGACATCTTCAGCTACCTCCTCAACCTGATGTACACGGGCAAGCTGGCCCCGCAGCTCATTGACCCGGCACGCTTGGAGCAAGGCGTCAAGTTCCTGCATGCCTACCCGCTGCTGCAGGAGGCCAGCCAGACGTCCTTCGCCCACACAGAGCATCCGCTGCCGCTGGCTGCGTCCCTCTACGGCATCCAGATCTCGGAGCAGCAGGCCGGCCGGCTGGCCTCGCGGAGCGGGCCGCCCTCGCCCTTTGACCTGGAGCTCCTGGCGGACGGGAAGGGCGCGGCGGGTCCCGAGGCCGGCGTCGGCGCCTACGGGTCCCCCAGGGATGATCCTGACCAGGAGATGCCTGCTGTCACCACGGCGACCGTTCCCACGGTGGCAACCACCAATGCCATCCTGCACGTGAAGCCCAGCATCATGAAGAGGGGTGCCCATTTCCGCAAGCACTACACGTGCCACCTGTGCGGTTCTCGCTTCACGCAGCGCTGCAACCTCAGGGAGCACCTGCTGCTGCATGCCCCGGCCTCGGTACCCACGGCGATGGCACCTCCGCCAACCGAGGTGGAGGAAACCGGGCGCGACCCTGCCAGTGACAGCGAGCAGCCGCCCCAACCCACTATGGGCTCGCCCCAGCCCCAACTTGAGCTCCCCCAGCCCATCACCGACATAGGCCAGCCCCAGGCTGAGACGCCCCCCCCTTCGGACATCGCTGACATCGACAACCTAGAGAGCGGCGGGCTGGACCGCGAGGTGAAGCGGCGTCGTTACGAATGCAACACATGCGGCCGCAAGTTCATCCAGAAGAGCCACTGGAGGGAGCACATGTATATCCACACCGGCAAGCCGTACAAGTGCAGCGCATGTGGGAAGAGCTTCTGCCGTGCCAACCAGGCCGCGCGCCACGTCTGCTTCAGCCAGGACCGACAGGGCGCCGAGCCCTGCGCCGAGGAGAACGGCCAGCCGGAGGCACTCTTCCTGGCCGCCGGCAGGCCATACAAGTGTAACGTGTGCGAGACCACGTTCTCCAGCCCCAACGAGGTCATCAAACATCTCTGCTTCTCCCAGAGCACCCAGGGCTTCCCTATACTGGACAGCCCCGGCGGCATGCAGGGTGACGAGCTGCCCAAAGATGAAGGTTCCGACTCTTCGAACACCGCGTCCCTCATAACGGCCATCAAAACCGAGGAGATCTTAGTCGAATAGAACCAGCCAAACAGAGTAAACCTTTTTGTTTTGTTTTTTTTGAAGCGAAACATGGTCAGTACTTCCACTAAAATGTAGATTAAATGTGACTTTCAGCAAAGGGCCTTTTCAGCTGAAAACATTTTTCTTGTAGCAAGTTTTTTTTTTTGGATGTGCGCCCCCTAGAGCCAGAAAGAAAAATTGCAAGCACATGCTCAATACCTTAATTTATACCGAACGCTTCATAAACATTGATTTGAATACACAAGGCTGAAGAGCACCTTTTTGGGTTTTGCCTATGAGCTATTTACCAACAAATACTGCTGCAGAATATTACCAAAAAGCACGGTGGAGTTGCCATTTCAGCTGGTGGTTCATCTGTATTTGAACGTATTAGTCATCACCTTACCTCCCTACTAAAACTCGAACCCATTTGCTTGAAACTGAGACCCAGCACCCTACTGTGACAGAACAAAAATCCAATCGCCTCCTGTAACGGGTCACTACACTGACACCATCATACATACTCTGCTGTGTGTAAGGGGGGGGGGACAGGATAGAAACGCGGAGTGTATGCTGTGCCTCGCCCATCTTGTTGGGTCATAGGGTTTTTTTTGGGGGTGGGTTAGGACGTTAATGATGATCTGCACTAGAATAGTATCACTGCAGTGGAAGGACAATTTATAAGAGAAATCGTTTTCTAGGTCATTGTACCCCTTGTTTAACAGTGTATTTTCAGAGTAAAATGACTACTGTTATGTACACACTGGTTAAATACGGTAATTTTAAACCTGGGTAATTTTTACATTGAATTTGTAGAGTTTTATTGAGATGCATTTTGGAATAATCTTTCATTCCCGACAGCAGAGCTTAAAACAAACAAAACAGCCCGTGCCCCTCGTTAGCCGGCAGTCACGGTAAATGCCATTTCTGGAGGCGCGCAGCCGTGTTGATGGGAGGAAGTCGACCTGATCACGAGCCCAACTTCCTGTTCCTTCCGCACAGGAACTGTTCCCCCCGTGCCAACATTCATTCTGATGACTGCTCCAATTGCAGGACGTTTGTCTTCGGCCGCTGCAGCGTCCGATCGGTCTTTCTGGAACTCTGTTACATCATTTTATTTATTATTATTGTTTTTTTAAAGGATGATCTGAAAGCACACATGTTGTACCATGAGCTTGTACTGTGTTGTGCTTCTTGCCAACTTACCCTCTGGTCATATGCTCCAGTTCCCGATGCCCATATATTTTTTTGATATACCTTCCTAATTTTATATACAGTACTATATTTACCAGATATATTTTATATTGCTGAAGTTGTATATTGCTTTTATGTAGAAATATGGTTGTCTAATAGAGTAGATGTTTTGTGTAATTTTATTTTTTAAATTCAACACCCGTGTGTTTCACGACGAACAAATATTAGTGCATCCATACCGCTGTCAGATGGCGTTTTATGTGCCGTAGTGTTCAGTCCCTTTCACCGCATGCAGGTTTCCGCTGGCGAGAGTGACTGTCCCCCGTTTAAGCACTAAAACTGTGGCCAACAGAGTCACGTGAGCAGAGCCCTCTTGGTAAAATGGTAGTGAAATGGAGAAGTGTCCTCATTGGTCGGGTTTTTGGAAAAACACTGTACTTACCTACTGATCTGTGTCTGCCCAATAAGCAGCTTTTCGGCTAGCAAATCTGGTTGTAGGCAGTTGTGGGAGCAGGCAAGGGCGGAGGTGGCTGACTTAGCTAATCTGCAGTGGGTTTACGTGGCTGGCCGCCTAACCGTGACCCGGTCTGAGCTCCTGACAATGGAATCGATGAGCACTGAGAAATCGGACAGTTTTCATGTCTCCTCGAAGGAACGTATATTTATTTAATGTAAGAACTCTGTGTGAAGGCATTGTTTAATTGATACTACTGATTGTTTTCATTTTAATATGCTTCCCAGCTTGTGTAACGTTTCTTATCCTATCTGTTGGTTCAGGGGAGTGAAAATGAGCCTTATGTCTGTGTGTGACCAGACAAATTGTTTTTCACGGGCAGGAATTTCTCATCAATGTTTTTTTTTCCTGGACTTATTTATGCAACATTTGTAATTTCCTTTTCGGAGTCTTTGATACGCACAGGTCAGGCAGGACGAGTCATCAGCACTCTGACCCGAAGTCTGAAAGCAGTCAGGACACCCGCCGTGGTCTGTGATCTCAGGAATGTGCGCCGTCTCCTTTGTTTCCATGGTGAAGAATGGAAAAGTCAATAAATTTTAAAAAAATCAGAAATGATGAGTCGTTAAATACTACAGAAATGTGGTGGTGGTGGTTGTGTGTGGGGGTTATTTATTGATTGTCCAGCCACTGGCTTTTATCCTAACATATGGTGGACAGTGCTTTGGGGGTGGGGCACGATGGTAAAGAATCAGATTCCAGATTTGTCATGACAGCTGGGTGGAAGGATACAGGGGAGAGGGGATTTTACTGTGCGTGGTTTGGGATGCATCCTATGAATCCAGGCATACTGTGCAGGAAATGTATTTGGGTCCAACCTTCCGTTCCCTGGTGACTTTCAGAGAGTTCGCCATCTACATGTACTAATGTAAGGGTTCGAAAACACCTGCGATGCCCGTTTGGAAGGGATGGTAATGCCATGGACCACAATGCACTCTGTGCCAAGGGCACTGTTCTGTAAGGCTAAGTTTATTGGAAGGAAGTTTTAGACATGATTTTCGTATTCATATTAACAGCATGTAAATATAAAAGGCAGGATTTAATTTCATGCTTGTTATATATTTAAGAGTTACTCGATGTTATTACAATGTGATTTAAGGTATAGAGGTATACAGTTTGTACAAAGGTTACCAGGTTCACATTTAATTTGTTACAAAAAGCTCAGAGTGGAGTGAGGAACGTCGAAAGTCGAACGCGAGGGGCTGCTGGGTGGCGCAGAGGAGGGTGGAGCGGGTCGCTGCGGCTTTTGGGTTGACCGGGGCCAGCTCGCCTAGCTGAACAGTTAGAAAACTAATGACGGCATCGTTCTGCACAATCTGCACAGTGATCTCTGTGCTAAAACTTTTTATTAAACTCGCGACCAGAACAATAACTAGCACAGAGGTAGCGCTCCCCGCTGTCTTTGTTCAGCCTGCTAGCGGCATCGTCTATCTTCGTCTTCGTACAAAAGCTTAGCCAGGTGCTAGATGCTACCTCATGAAACCCATGACATAACAGTCTGATTCGCTTACGAGCTCCAAACCCTGTCAAAAATGCAGCCTGTGACGTGGGAGGAGTGTATTTGGGATCTCCTGTGAGCTTCTAACCTCGATGGCGTGGGAGATGACACGAGACAGTTACCTGTGCAAGGTATGAACAGATTCCTAACGTCTATCCTTGAATGCATCCTGTGACTATGCACCATCCTGTCTAAAACCCTGCAGCAAGGTGTTTCTGATATGTCACCATTAGGGGGCACAAAAGCACCACACATTTCCAGTGTGACACAAAGCTTGCAAGCCCAATACAGACAACGCTGTTTTGAGATCGATCACTCAGCTACGCCTGTAATCCCCCATATAAAACGCCTGGACTCACCTGCAGACTGGAGTGCAGTGTTCACTGTACACACGTACACAAGCCCCAACATCAACGTGATCTGTACACCCATGCAGTTACAATTTGGTCCACTACATTTTTCAGCAACGCAGTGTCTCGCTCACTAAGCTTAATCTTTAAACATACCCCTTCACATTATTGAAACAATGCTAAACTACACTTCCGAGTCCTCTGATGCGCACATATATCTACATGGATTTTTTTTTTTTAAAAAACCTTTAAAGAGGATGGTGTACATTAAAATCTTTATAGCAAGAATAACGATTTTTTTTCTATATTCTATATTTTCTACCGTGTTGCACTATCGGCAAGGAAATAAACACTCTCTGAATTTGACGTACTACTTTACAGAGAGCAGGCGCTAGCGTTTCAGCAGCAGGGTGAACCTACAGCACACTGGATGGATCAGAAGATGCCAGAGAGAAGCTGCTGACGTTCACAGAACAGTTCATGCACACGGTCCACACTGTTACCGCGGAATGCGGCCGCTCAGAGGTGGCGCTCGCTTCACATTGATCTCAGGGTTTGTTTTTTGTTTTTTTGTATTTCAAAATCAAGTTATTGGAAAGCGCACTTCTGTACCATGAAGCCTCAGTGAGAAAACAAGAAATACCTTTACGCTCTTAAAGCAGCAGAGGAGAGCTTTGGGAATCATTGTCAAAATAATATAAATACAAAAACAGATGGGAGTGTCAGCTTAGTTCAGATATAAATACAATATACAAGAAAGTGCCCCCCCCCCAGCTCTGGAAACATACAGACGTGTTTCACGACTCTGCTCACGGGACAGTCGTAGCAACGCAAGCAGACGGGGCAGCAGAATTGGGTGGAGTGGAATTTTGAGGAGGGGGGTGTCACAGTAGGCATACATCACATTTGTTCACTAGCCGAGAAAAGCGTCAGGCTGGACCGGGGTTGGACTGCGTCGGGCTGTGGGTGGAGCTATTGGTGGAGCCCCCTGAGTGGGCAAACAGGCAGGGAGACAGAGCAGCTGTGTGTGTGTGGGCGGGGGTGTCACTCGCTCAGTTGTAGGCACGGCAGAGCCCAGTGTCAGTGCATATCTCCAGAACCGGCTCGCGGTTCCCCTTTGGACCCTCCTCTCTCGCAGGGAATCGCTCCTCCGGGCCGGCCTACCGAGAGACAGGGGAAGGGGGCAAGGGGGGGCAAAAGAAGAAGGGAAAAAAAAAACACAAAAACATCAGCATGTCTGTTCAGAAGCTATGCGTGTTGCGCGCGTCACGGTGAAAGATGCAGCAAAGCATGCGCAGAGTTCCACAGGAAGCACACGCTGCGGCTGCCGCCCAGGTGACATCCGTATGCGTGAGACCTCGGGCCTCACTGCGGCGGCATCAAGGACAGACTGCTGACTCATGCCTCCACCCCCCAGCAGGGGGAGGAGAGACGCACAGGCGCAGACCGGCCGGTCCTGCGCATCCGCCCGTCTGCTGCAGTGCTGCATTCGCATTCGTCAAACATGCATCAGTGGCCCCCTCCCCTACCCTGTATACGTCACTGCGGACAGGTCCAGCGTCTTTATTCCCCCCTGTGTTTACAAACACAGTACCACCCCCACCCGCATAGTTTCTCTCTTGCAAGCAAGCTCTGAGCTTTTCTGGGCAGCACGTTACAAAAAAGCCCCCCCTCCCTTCACCTGACTGCTGAAGGTGACACAACAGCATCTCTCCCTGCTTGTCCTTGCCTCTGACCATCTCCTCGCAAGGTCTGACAAATGGCGGAGCGCAGATGCCGGAGGCAGAGGAGGGACGATCAGTCTTTTGGCACAACTACACCTGCCCTCACATGTTCTCCATCAGCGCTGACTACAAAGACGTGGCCGAGTGCCAAATTCCCGCTTTGAAATCCTGGGGCCCTTAAATACCTGTGCCTTGGACAAAAGCTTTTTCATCTGGCTGGCCTGCTAGGTCCGTTTAATAAAGGACCATTGATGCTTAACGGCAGCGTACGGAGACTGGATGGAGGGGTTCTGACAGGTACTTCTCTAAGTACACATGCATAACGTTGCAAATAACATCTTCTCCACCATAAAACCCAACAGTGTGAACCAAAATTTAGAAGTTTAAAAGTATATTTCTAAACATAACACGTGATCAGCCCCTTACTATTTCATGACGCGGCGGTCTGCTCCGACGACACAGGCTGCAGCTCGCTGGCCTTCTCCAGGATCACTGCTCCGGCGACCTCCGAGGCACCGCTGATGGCCGTCTGTCCCATGGTCTTCTTTGCCTCCACGGAGTCGGCATCTGTGGCCAACGGACATCCCGTGGATGCATCCTGGGCCTTTGTATCACTTGCCTCGGGATCTCCTGTCTCTGTGGCTATGCCATCCTCAGCAGGGGCTTCTTGTGATTCTAGCTCTCCACTCACCGTCCCATCGCCATGATCTTCCACACACATCTTGGGAACTGCGGTCTCTGCATCCTGACTGAGAACAGGAACTGCATCGTCCTTTGTACTCAACTCAGTGGCACCCTGAATCAGATCCTCTTCTGCTTGTTTCTCCTCTTCTTTATTGATGGGCTCCACCACTGTCTGCTCGGTTGTTTCTGCTTTGACTGTGCCGGGGACTTGCACGTCTTCATGCTGTACCTCCTCCTGTAGGACAGTCTCTGATGCTTTGTCATCTTGACATGTCATTTCTGCTACCCTGCTTTGTTCCTGTGATTCTGCTTCTGCTTCATGAACTTCATCTTTGCTTTTTTTCTCCTCTATGACAGCAGCGGCCCCCTCTTGACTCTCTTCTTTTCCTTTTACAACTTCTTGGGTTGCCAGACTTTCATGTTTGTCCTCTGCATGTTCCTCATGAGTTTGTGTCTCTTTTTCTTGAGCTGTCACATCTATTTCCTGTTTGATTTCCTCTGGAGGCTTGACAGAAATATCTTCCTGATGAATCTCCGCTGGGACCGCAGAGCTTTCCGTGGCTTCAGATTGACTAACTTTGGTTGTTTCCACTTGAACGGCTTCTTGGACCGTCTCAGGGAGAATCGGCTCTTTGGGTTCCTCTGTTTCTTGTTTGACCCCTTTCTCACCTGATGCCTCCTCCTCTGCTTTTGAACTCCCTGGCACCATTTCCTTTCCCTCCTCTTGTTCAGCGAGCCCTGATTCACTTTCTTGCTTTGACAGGTCATCCAATGCATTCTTGCTGGCCACCTCAGCATCAGATGTGCCATCCACTTCAACATGTTCCACTTCTTTTTTCTGCTCTGTTTGCATCACTTCCAGGTCCACCTTCTGGGTCACCACCTGAGTTACAGCATCACTGTCCTCAGCAGTAATTCCTGCATCCTTTACCTGCTCCATTTTCAAGTCGACATTCTGGATGACCGCCTCAGCAACAGCTGTGCTGTCCTCTTTTACAGTTTCTGCTTCCTGAATCTGCTCCGCCGGCATTTCTTTTAGTTCCTCTTCTTTCGCACTCACATCTTCAGCTGTGGTACTGATGCTGATTGGAGCTACGTCTGTCGCTACTCCAAGAGCTGCTTCCACAATTGGGATTTCTGTGCTCGTCACACTAACATGGACCTCACGATCGCTCTCCAGCACCACCTCATCCTTGACCTCTGCCATCTGTGAAGGAACGGACTCAGACGGTGGTTTAATGACACAGGTTGTCTCGTTAGAGGCTAACAGTTCAGCTGTTGGTGCTACCACAGCAATGGGAGCCTCCTTGATATCTGAGATTTCAGCAGTAGGGGGCTCCGGCATTGAAACAGTCACTTCCTGTATCACACACTGGTTCACTACTTCTACTGGAGTAACCTCTGCCTCAGCAACATCCTCCTTAATGGCTTCAATTTCCTGCACTGCATCAGCCTTCACAAGAGAGACTTCAGTAATGTGGGCGATATGGGCACTGAGAGATTCTTCTATTGTTGTATCTAGTGGGCCTTCTGTCTCAGTTTTGGGTGTGTTTTCTGCTACTACTGTTTCCTCAAGAACTTCAGACGCGCCCTGTACTAAATTGACCAAAGCTACCTTAACGGGTTTCGGTTCTTGCAGCATATCTGCATGTTCATGATCTGGCATATGTTTAACCTCCCCCATTAATATAACTTCAGTGTCTTGAATCCCCTTGACAGTTTCTACCTGTACTTCCACCCATTGTGCAGTCTCCTCTACATCAGACAATGGCTTTGGTTCTCTTGCTTCTGTTTTGAGCTCCTGGACTTCAGCCACAAACACGCAATCTTCTCTAACCGTCATTACTTCAGATTTCTCCGCTTTCTCCTCAACAACCACTTCTGTGGATATAGCCTCGCCGACTTCAGTGATGCTCTCCACAGATGCCTGCATTGTCTTCTCCTCGGCAGACGCAATTTCTTGAGAGTTAAGGCCAGTGCAGAGAGCGGTAGCTTCAGATTTTGCATGCAACTCTAGAATAACAGCCTCCTCATTCGTAGCAGACTCCAAAACTTGTGCGGTAACTGAAACAGCAACAGACTCCTGTTGTAAGTCTGTCATTGTCAAGGACTGGGCATTTTCTGTGTGGGTTATAGTCTGTACTGCTTCTAGCAGTATGGCTTCTGTCTTATCCATATCATATTCTGCCTGCACTGGAGTTGTGTCGCCAGATGTACCAGGGGATTCTGTGAGTCTGGACACTGCTGAAACCATTTCTGTTGTTTCTTCTGTGAAGGACACTTCAGGCACCTGTTCTACAGCTGTCGTGACCTCGGAAGTTAATTCCACAATGTCCTCAGCTATGGTGTCATCATGGGAAGCTTCCTCGGCAGTGGACTTGGGTGTGGCTATGGTGTCCCCTTCTTCTGGTATATCACTTAGTGGCTGTTTAATTATGCATTCTGTTGTTTCTTGAATGTCCGCCACAGCTGTTGGCGATATCCAGGATGGTAGTCGTTCCTCAGCATCAGCCACAGCTTTGACCTGAGGTCCAGTGATTGGCACGGCATCGATGGGTTTCTCTCCCTCAGATTCTGGAACTGTGGGCTCTTGTTTTGATTCTTCAGCCTCAGTAGTGCTGGCTGGCATTTCTGTAGCTGCTACATTGTCCTTTGAAGCAATATTATCTTGCTCAACTTGTTCAGAGTCATATTCTGATAACGGAACCACAGCAGGTGTGTCAGAGTCCTCCTCGGCTGAACCCAAAGATTTCCCCGCCTCGTCGGACGAGACCTGCTCTTGCTTTCCATCCGATTTCTTTTTCCTTCGCCCAGGGATCAGCTTTTTAAGTGAGAAGGAGGATTCCTCCTTGGGAATTTCACTGTCTGACATTTGCTCAGAGGTGGTACCAGCAGTGGCCTCCTCAGCCTTGTCCTCTGCCTTCACTTTGCGACGTGGGGTAACAAACCTTTTCAGTGACTCCCACGTTGAGACTCCATCTCCTTCTGATGGACTCCCAGCCTGTTCAGGGGATGATGTCAAATTTTCATGATCTGCCTCTTGAGAACTTCCAAGCAGTGCTTCTGCAGTTTTTGGCTGTTCTTCCTCTATTCTTGGAGTCTCGTCATCTGAATCAGAGGTCTTTCTGGCCCTCTTTTTGGAAGATCCAACACAAATCAAGGCTTCCCAAGACACAGATGTATCCATCTTCTTTTTTGGTTCTTCTGTGCAGGGTTCGGTCTTCTGCTCCTCCTCAGCAGGTTTTGGCTCTTCTTGCTTTTCAACAAAGACAGCACTGTCTGTGGAGGACAACGTTGCAGACTTGGGTTTCTCAGGAGCATCATCTTCGCTGTCCGATGACTTTTTGACACGTTTTTTTGGTGTCACCAACTTCTTGAACGAGGCCCATGGAAGAATGCCGTCTTTTTTCTTATCTCCTTCACCTTCGTTCTCAGGAGCCATTTCTGTTTGTCCGGGCTCCCCAATGACGTGCTCTACTGACTCCTCTGGGGAGGAAGGAGAGCTTTCTCCCTTCTGTCCTTCGGCAGATTCACAGGATGACTGAAGCTGTTCAGAAACATGCTCCCCAGATTCTGTCAGCTTGGCCTCAGCTTCTTTCTTTACTTTCTGTTTTTTGGAGGAAAGTTTCTTTAATCCGGACCCCGTGAGGAGTTTTTTCAATGGGCTTCCCTGGGCCTTGTTTTTTTCTTGGGAGGATAGGAGTTCTGCTTCCGTTGTGATTGCAGCGGGGACTTCTGCAGAAAGGACCTCCTCCTGATTTGCCTGACCTTCAACAGGACTTTCAGCCTTTGCCTCTGTAGATGTGACATCGGTAGCACCTTCAGCTGGCAATGATTCTGCAACCTCTTCCGGGGTGGTCTGAGGAGATTCAGCTTCCACATTAATCTCAGCTTTGATCTCATCCTCCTTTTGTTCCACCACAGCATCTGGGACTTCTGGGAGGAGTTCAGCCTTGCTTTCCTCTGTGCTGGTCGACTCTTTCTGCTGAGCTTCAGCCATTGTCTCCTCGATGGTTTCCTCTCCTTCTTTGGGGGATTCGGTTGTTTCCTCGTCCGTCTCCTTGATTTCCTCTTTGATGGCCACTTCCTTCTGGAGCTCCTCTTCTTTGGTCTTTTTGAAACTCGTCTTCTTCCGCAAATTGGAGAAGATGCCCTGTGTAAAGAACCTCTTCAGTGGGGACTGTGTTTCCTGGACTGTAGGACTGGTCTGGGACTCAGCTGGTGCTTCGCTCTCTTTCTCAGAAGTGACTTCCTCGGTGGGTCCCTCTGTTTCAACGGCCTGCTCCTCAGTATCTGTGGTTAATTTCTCTGCCTTCTCCTCAGCTGCGGGAGATTCAGCTCCCGCTTCCTCAGCTTGAGGCTCCTCAGGTGTCTCCTTCTTCTCCTCTGGCTCGATTTCTTCAGTAGCGCCTTTCTCAGTGGATTCTTCCTCAGCACCTTCCTTCTTATCTTCCTCAACAACACCGTTCTCCTTGGAAGCTTCAATGAGACCCTTCTCTTTGGGCTCCTCGGTGGCAGCCTCCTCGGCAACATCAGAAGCACTGGCCTCGCCTTCCTCCTTCTTCACCGTCAGCAGCTGCACGGGGTCATTCTTCTCATTCTTGTCTTTTTTCAGTGTGACCTTGAACCCAACAAATCGGAAGATCTTCTTGAATCCCACCTCATTCGTTTCACTTGACTTCTCCTCTTCTCCTACCTTGGCCACTGAGGTTAGCTCGTCTGTTCCAGCTGATTCCTCCTCCTGCTTCTTTACCTCTACCTGTGGATCTGCCTCCCCTTTGAGCTCCTCCATATTTTCCGGCGCATCCTCCTTCTCAGTCTCGGCGTCTGCCTGACCAACTGCAACAGAAAAAAAAGAAAGAAATTGACCGGTTACATTCAAAGCTGCATATTTTTTCCACAAATTAAATAATTTCATTTTTTTTTTAATGAAATAATTAAGTATTAGTTTGATTTTTTTTCTACTAATACACGTCATCACAAGTCACACTATATAGCTTACTCGTTGTTCTTCCTCACTTCCTTACTAAGCATATTAATTTGATGCTTAGTTATATTTTCTTTTCTTTTTTTCTCTTTGGTCTGAATGCGCAATGGAGCCATTTGTGTCTCTTTACCTCTTTTGTTCTGACTGGTAGAGTGGGAAAGGTAACTGCAGGGGCTACAGGAACTGTGCTCTGCTATACTCAGAAGAAGTCCAGAGCTGTTAAAATTTTCATGAGCTGAAGCTGCACTATTTCATGCTTGCCTTTTCCACTTGGAAGCCATTCCCACACCCAGCTTCTGACACACTGGTGTACATGCAGGCACACAGGCTGATTTCATACTGAGCAGAACTCTGGGCAAAACCCATCTGGTCCTGAGAACAGCACTGTAACTTACACAATATGCATCTCCACTAAATCTCTGCTGGTTGTACAGTATATCAAGGTGTCAGAAACAGGTGATATGTAAGAGATACATACCAATAATGCCATAAGCAAGATATGCCCATATATGATAATAGTTTGGATAGGGATAATAGCACTCTGATTAATCTGATTATTATTCAGTCTGATCTAGTAAAAATAGTGTTCTGAGTGAGGCAGAAGGGTGTGGGGGGGTGAGGCATAAGACGATTGACAGTGGGGTTTGTAGGTTGCACTGTTAGGCCCTGTGCCCCCCACCCCTAATCCCCACAGAACACGGAAACACATCTGGGTCTCGATCTGAGTTCCCACGGCGACCAGCCCCCCCCCCCACCTCTGGTTTCCCCCCCCCC